GAACATTCTGCTTGGAGCCTACCTGTGTTACCGTTTAGTTGTCGTAAAGCAGATCTGATGTTTTCTTCGATGGGATTCTATAACAAAAACCATTAAGAATACACTTATTCATAGTAAAATGAAAATCTTAAGATTACTTGACTTACGCGACTTACTTGAGGAAATATAGCCGTGAGCTCGGCAACAGCGACTCGAATTCTTTCCGCGCAAGGTACGAAAGCTTCTCGTTGCTTCGGATCTTGCATAGCCATCCAGAGTTCTTGAATTCTCCTTGTAACTTGTTCAGTCCTTCGAGTGACCTCTTCACTGGGAGGAAGACTGGGAGCGCCGCATGCCCATAGACTTTGCGTGTTGCCGCGAGACATGGTTTCTGGGTCTCGTTTTGTCTATTTTTTAGATTTACATACGCAATTACTAAGTGGAGCCTGTTTATATAAGATTTACAGAGATAAATAAAAGGGTTTCGATATCGATACCTGACATATAGTCGTTGACCACGAGCTGGGTTTTCTTAAACCTTCTCTTGTTTCATACATAGACGCAGGTCGCTGATTGCTTCTATTAAGGGATGTTTTTATATCCAGTACGGGTTCCAACTCTGGTTCTTGTTCTCCACCGACATGACCATTGATAATACCATCAGTAGACTCTTTCATCTACAAGATTCGCGGGTTAGATTTCGATTTACCAACAAGTAAACAATTTTGTATAGGTTATCCTCCTTACGTGAATCATTTTTTTTAACTCGTTATTCTCATGCGTAAGTTTTTCTACGGTATTCTGCAATGTATGTATCTGCTCGCGAAGATCTCTGACGGTAGATTCAGAAAGAGTTAATTGCTTTTTCAGAACTTCTACAACGGACGGAAGACCCTTGGCTATTGGTGCAAAGGCTTCCTGCAATAGTATTTTAATACAACCTGTAAGATGTTATTTTTAGGCGAAGAATAAAGTAAAAGGTATTATGAGTCACGCTACGTGATTGTTACGAAACAAAACACATAATTAACATGTCTGTGTTACAAATTTTAGTAAAGTATGAATTGTAAAAAGGTGAGATAATGCAGATAATTAATAGTAAAAGTACGATATTTAAATTTATGTAATTCTGGCAATGGCTGCACATGCACTAACAGACCTGTGCACTTGCCTAGTAGCACTGTCTACAGAAGAGCCATGTACTTAGCCGATTCCTTATTCTTCTTTTCGTTACTAGTGCCGGTACCTTTAATACGTTACCACACAATTTTATCTATTCTAATAAGTATCTTATCATCCATCTTTTTTTTCCATTAATACACATTATATTCTATATTATATTTTTCGTGTTTGCAAGAATATGTCATACTTCATATCGAAATACTCACCTCGTTGTCCATTTTAAACTGTAACGTTGAATACTCAGGCACTGCATTGTCTGTCGATGTTAACGCGGAATCGTCGTCCGAAGCAACGCTATCGTATAATGGTTCATCGTCAGACATTTGCGATCCGTATTTTCCCAGTTGTGCTTTACGATGTATAGAAACAGCTGGATCTAATAATCAGTGTGTATATTTGGATAATTATAATTATTACAATATACAATGTATATTTCTTATTTTTGACAAACCTTGAAGAGGCGAATTACTTGTAACCATATGTCTTCTACGAGCTTCAATGAGCAGATCTATAATAAGTGTAGCGAATTCCTTTGGTGTAAATCTTGCTAGCTTTTGTCTACCTTGATTTCTCGTAGAAGAAAGTTGCGGATTAACTGGTAGAAAAGGTACTGTACATCTATCTGGCGAAGATGCAGTTGCAAACCAAACTATTTAAGGAACATAAGATTAAAACTGTCAACGTAGTAAATAAATTATTAAATAACATGCTAGTTACAAAGACTTTATACTCTCTATATTTATATTTCTATTTACAATCATCAGACTATAACTTAAAGCTAAAAGCAATCGTTACAGAAACTAAAAGCTTGTTCAACTCACCTCTCCTTAAAAATGATGCAATAAAAAAAGCATGCATGTTAATTTGGTAATGTATAATAGAGGGGATTCAAAATTATATATATATATAAATATGAAATCTCTATTCAAAATGAATTAGTTACTCCTGTATTTCTTTAAGAAATAACTACACTTTAAGTCCATCATATATGATTACTATAGAGTATTCTTTCTAGATGCTAATCTATTAATTGAAGTGACTGTTAATGTGGAGGGATATTATTTATTTACTTACTTTCTTCATTCTCTCGACGATCTACCTCGTCATATACGTCCATTGCTAATTCTTCCAACAAATGATTTGGTAACTGAACAAAGAAAGTCCAAATATTATATTTTATACCATTATACTACGCGAAATTTAGTGTACCTACCAACTGTAATCTATTCCTTCCTTCTAAGCATAGGTCACTTTGTTCCAATAATAATGTACATTCAGGAATAATTATATGTTCATCCATTCCATGATCTGGCTTACGTGAACATATGTAATATGTCAGTCTGTCTGTTACTTCATACATGCATTCAACTATACGTTCAGACAAGTCTACATGCCCTGCCATTCTGTAAAAGTAAAATTTTCATTATTATGTCAGAACAATTTTTTTATTAGTAACATATAATATGGAGCATATTGATGCATACTTAGCAATTTCAGCAGGTGTTTGCCCATTTGAATCAATTATGCTGGGATTCCCACCATTGGCTATTAAAAGTTCTAACTGCAAAGCTTGTCCTGCACGAGCAGCTACATGTAAAGGTGTTGTACCTTTCTCCTGTAAAACCATGCATTATACTTTGTATTTCTACTACGAAACTATCTATTAATACTTTATGCGCAAATACCTTGTAAAAATAATTTGGATTAGCACCTTGTGCAAGCAGTCTTAACGAAGTTTCTAAATTACTTGTACGGACACTACTGTGTAACTGCCTACTTAATTCCTCTTCGCTACAGGATTCCTCCTTACTTGGACGTAATATAAAGGCTAAATGTTGATGTTTCGCCCTAATAAAATCATCCTTTACTGGACTAAAAAGATCAAAAATGAACTGACAATTAAAATGTTTTACCTTCTATTACATTGTGATAGAAATTATACTAACTGCAATGGATCTTTAGCTTGTGGCTTTCTTCTACTAATTTTTGAGTTACTAGGATCTAAAAGGGAATGTTCCCAAATACTGTTTGCTCCATTATCATTTAATGTATGCACCATCTACAAAACATAGTCAAAGTTAAATGTAAAATTAGTGTTGTTTGAGTTATACATTATAGATATTATTCAAGCTTACTAACATTGAGTAAATTTGTATGCCAGATGCTCTTGTGAAGTGACTTTATATTGGATATATGACGGCCAAGACTACGATGTATGCCACAACAATCATCGCATAACAAAATGGCTCTATTCAATGAAGCCCATCCTGGTTCTAAAAAAATATAATTATAAAATTCACTTCCATACAATATTAACAGTTAAATACAAAACTGTAAGCAATCTAAAGGGATACATTAAATGACACCAACCATATAAATAGAGTACATTAAAAACACTGACTTTTATTGAGATAAATGAATTAAATTACTTATTACTAATATCTGATTAATTTCTCTGTATACACATTATTTAATGCACGCATAGAGCATACCTAAAGGTGAGACGTGAAAATTATAACGACGTAATCAACATTAACCTTCTTTACATGATTTGCTCAGTTATTTTAACCAATTAAAAAAACTATTTTTTATTGGGATCTTATTATGCAACAACATAAGCAGATAAAGAGATATAAGAAAGACGATACATCGAATAAATAATGAAAGGGAAGAATGCATTTACCGAGGGCTCCGCAGTCTGCGCATATATCCGTGTTAATTCTATGCTTCGGTCGAGCCATTCTCTCTACCTTTTATCTCGTTAAGCTGCACAATATTTTCGGACTAGTTATCAAATGTTTACAATATACGACATAATGCACGGCCTGTTTTAAGAACAAGAATGTCGTAGACAAAATTGTAAAACGTAAACCCTCGGTGTCGATGTCATTATATACTCGTTAATAATTCGACCGTGACAGGAGTCATCAGGAGTCATCCAGAGTCATCCAGTCATCTCACGCGAGCCTGAGACCTGAGATGGTGTTGGATGGTGTTATACGTTGTACATACTCTGTTTCTGTTATACTCTGTTGTACTCTTGTTGTACCATTGATTAAGCATCCTAGCAGACACGCATTCACAATATATTTTTCCCTACATTACTTTACACCTATCGGGTGCATCCAGAAAGGCGACAAGAGCTTATTTCTATTAATTATGTTGTTTATTTATTTATTTTAGTTCATTTAACCTTTTTCGATTCAAATTTTCTGATTTTAATGCATTTGTCGAGCCTCACTCGACCGCAAAGGGTTAAAGCATACATTTTGTGTAATAATGGTATAGCCATCTAGCGGTGAACAGGCCGAACTAATTTTTCGTTCTGTCATATTTAGTTCTGACACTTATAAACCTTCTGATTTCTTATTACCCTTGAACTAAACAGTAGATACAGTAAAATGATAAGTAAATATGTCTGATTTATCATTTATAAAAATATTTTATTAAATAAAATAATATTACTGGTCGTAGTACCAGTGGCGTCATCGGTGGGAAAACGCCTAAGTTTGTAGTGAAAATAGTTCTCGCTGTTCCCGCTAGATGGCGCCACTAACTCAAGTCCCGGTACTTCTTGCTATATTTATTATAATAATGTTTAAATAATATATTAAGATACTATACTGCAGTCTTATGAAGCAAAGAATAGTAGTGATTATGCGTTTATGTGAAATAAGAAAAAAATTAATTCGAAGGTGTCGGTGGCGCTTACTAGTAGAAACAGTGGAAAATATTTTCACTATAAACTTGGACGTTTCGTCACCGATGGCGCCACTATTACTAGGACCAGTATTAAATAAAATATTTTAAAAGTTAATACATTTTTTTCGTATTACTCGATTAACATCTTATTACATTTAGATCATTTTTATTCAGTAAAAGTACATAAATATTTTTATATATATTAATTTTACACAAACACATTTACATTTTGTATTAGTTGGTAGTACATAGTTGATTTTAAATAGTATTTTACAAATGTTGGACACAAGAAATTCTTCATCCTATATATTAAATTAATATCTGCATAAATATTTGTACATAATTATAAATCCCTTTGATATTTCGATTTGAATTTTATCAAATTTATTCAAGTTCTGGAGAATCAGAGCATAAATTCTGAATATCGTTCAACAGTTTATTCGAAATATATGATTTACTAAGATTAGATGTATCTATATTTTTTTTTTGATACAAAGAACAGAATCTTTTGCCATCTGGAGTTTCTAGAAAATTCATACTTGACTTTAAAGTCATGTACTCCCTGAGAGAACGTTGCTGCTTACAGTTCGTAATTGTAGGTGTTTTAGGCTGAGTACTATGATCTTGAGTCAATTTTCCATAAATAGTATTAAATTGATTTTCTAAATCAAGAAAACTGTCATCTACTTTATTTGTCCCATTTATTTCATTTGTTATCTCGTGATTTTCCTTATTGTTTTCATTATTTTTATTCAATTCGTTTGCACTTAACGGCTTCACCTCGTGTATGTAATCTTCTGGAACATGTAAAGGAGGTACTTCTAAATTTTCTTTTGAATTTTGCATTAATTTGCAGCATATTCCTACTTGAACTTCTTTATTTAACATTATGATAGGTACTTCTTCTGGTTCAGAACAATTTTGTTCTGTGGAAACATTACATTTTACATCTTTTTCATTATTTACAAATAATAATTTCTGGATACAAGTTAATGTCGATTTTATTTTAGATATTTTATCTTCTTCTGTACGTAGTAAATTATTTAACTCACACTCTAAATGGATAAGCATACTTCTGTCTACATGGATGATCTCAGATAAAGTACACCTGTTATTAATGTCATTTTTAGGTTCCACTAATGTTGTACCTTGTAAATCATTACTTAAACTTTCTATACATTCAAATTGCGTGGGATTATTATCTTTGCCAGGTGATTTATTATTTAACGAAAGACTGCTGTTCACTTCCATTCTTTGATTTTCTTTTTGCATGCTAGGAAAAATGCGAGCATCGCTTAGTTTAACAGAAGGTACAACTTCTTTTGATTCCTCATCTATCTTTGAACACTTAGTTGTTACTGTAGTGCGTCTGTGTAAATATTTATATTTTATTGTATTTGGTGGCAATAATAAACTATTTCTGCTCATACTGGTAACATTTTTACAAGTTGAGTTATTCCTTGCATATTTTTTTGGTTTATTTTTAATTTCATTATTTTCTTGAATGTTATTTTCAGTATTTTCATTAAAATTGAGATTTCTACGTACATGTTTGTCAAAACATGTGGACTGACCATTCGCATTAATTCCTGTAAAAATCATAAGATATTATGTATTATAAACATTAAATACATGTAATATGTTAATAAATATGGTTGAATACTAGCCATCACTTTCTTTGTTTATTTTCTTGTTCTTTACACTTGAAAGTGGACCTAATCTTTCAGGCTGTGCTCTTTTGCGTACTGAAATGGATTTGTTATATATAAATAAACCATTTCTATGAAATCACAAAGCAAAGACAAGTATATACCAACCACTATCTTTATGAGTTGTTTTTAAATTTTCTTCCTTTCTTAGCAGTTGTGCAATCTTAATTGGCTGAGTCCTTTCATAATCTACAGAATACGAATAATTATTGATTTTCGATATTGTTTCTCTATTTAAATAACTTTTTAATAAAAATTACCATTCTTGTGCGTGTCAGTTTCCGTCAATTTTGAACAAGTATAATAGTCAGTTCTCCTTATCGATTGCGATTGTTTAACCTGAGATTTACCCTGGTAAAATGTTCTCGATGATTTGACATGTGAAAAATGTGTTTACATATGTACATTTGTTTACATCACAGATCGAAATGTTTAATTTATACTCACTGCTGAATTGGATTTACTGTACATTATTTCTGGGATTTAACTGAACAAATTTGAAAATTGAAATCTTTCTATATTTAATGGAAAAGCTATGGGTAAATACACTGTAAGCGTGAAAAGCACGCATCAAAATTCAAATTTTTGGCAGTTGGATGGATTACAAGCATAAAGTATAACATGTTATAATAGAGAATACAGATGGCAGACGACAGAGGTAGTTTTTAGCTACATGAGATGGCGCATTTACAATGCATCTGCGCAATATAAACCAATACAAAATTTCAGATCTACGGCTTATATATCATGCATTTTTAGGGCAAATGTAATCGAAATATAAACCAATGACAATTTTTAATGAATTGTTACATCGATACATAAATTCTTTAGGCGATTGGTTATTTGCTTCGGGAAAAACATCACATTGAGCATATTTTCGTAGCTTTCTTATCTACAGTTGGCTATGCCCCGAAGTTACGTCTGTCGGCCATTTTGTTAAATTTATTTCTAAACGTATCCCCTCCAATTTGAAAACAACCGAAGGTCGACGCTGTTCTCGATCTCGATAAAGTATTTTTGGTTAGGTTAATAGCTGTGTAGAAGATATTTTAACAGTAAGTAAATCATCGTGATCGAGCCTGTTTCTATCGATATTGAATAGTAGTAGAAAATTTCTGTCTATGCGTGAACGAGTGCCGTTTTAGCCATGGTTCGTAATGTGTAATTGGATGGAAGGAGGCTTGTCGTAGAGAGGCTATGGCTACTGCTTTGATCATATGTAAAATACTGTTACCCGATCGGTCACCCTTTGTTTTTCATCGACGATACATCCGGCATTTTTTTCGCCTGATTTCCCTACGCAAAATTATTTTTTGCCTCGAAACGCTCGTTATAACCTCCAAAGTCATAACCTATATAATATAACCTTAGATGAGATGTCAACATTTTAAACGGTCGTTGTTAAAGGAGTTTGTTGGTAACATTTGTACAGAATCGTAAGAACCTGACAGATACTTAATTTTCGATTTTAAGATATACATTGTTCAAATGAGAGATTCATACGAAATTTCTTTTTGCTATTGCATCTCCTATTAGCGATACGAATGTATATTTTGATAGATCGATTGAAATTGTTTCGTTAACTGATGAATATTTCTGGAAATCTAATATTAAGAATAATATTAAATTATTAAAGTAATAAATATAATATTAAAGTATTAAATATAATTACTTTGATTTAAAGTGTTGCTCTGATTGTTTTTTGAAACTGTAAACAATTCCTTTTTTTGTATTTGGGCATCAAATTACATGTATATTAAAATATCATCTACTTCAATTAAAGTGTATAAATTCTACTTATTTAATTATGTCACTGTACGCTTCATGTAACAAATATTTTATATCTATTCGTATTTCTACCTATTGCATACATAGATTATCTATATAATTTAGTTTAACATATTTGATACATTCACATCAAATGAATCAGAAAAACAAAGTGATTCAGAGATGTAAGAATGTAAATGGTAATGAGAGGGGAATTAAATACATTTCTATCATTTCAGTGATTTCAGTGATCAAGTAATTGCATTACGATACAATGGATGTCACAGGAGATTTGACGTTGCAATGGGTCGAGGAGGTAGGAAATGTTATCCACGAGGAAGTAATATGCGGTTTAGAGGCAGAGCTAGGTGCACCGGAGGAGGAGGTGATAGGGGCTTGCGAGGAAGTTACAGTGGAGGAAACGGTTGAATCTGTACCTGATGTTGCTCCTACAACAGAGTCAGAGATATTAATGGTGTCACAGACTAGCGATATGGAATCTATTTATATAGTACCACAAGATCAAGGTCACGATTACCTAAATATACAAGTCACAGAGGAAGTGATTGCTGATACTTGGGATAGATCTGGTCCTGAAGATGGGTAAGTTTCAAATAGAGTACATTTTAGTCTGTAATACATCTGTAATAATTTCAGTAACAAACTAATTTTATATTTTAAAGAGTTGAGATACCAGATACAAAAGTGGCTCATGATAACTTGTTAGAATACGACGACATGGAAATTCCATTACCAATTGACCAAGATTCTTATACGAATATGAGACCGTATCCCTGTGACTTCTGTAGCCGAAGGTTCAGGAAAAAAGCAAATTTAATGAATCATATGGTGGCACATCAGACTGATCGTCCTCATGGTTGCAACCTGTGCGGAGCACGTTACGCCAGAAAATGCGATCTCATGAATCATTTGAAGATTCACGCGTATGCACCATCTCGCGATGGTCTGGAGGATGATCTGAATGATGATGACTCATTGGCACAGGAGGAAGAAGAATCTGCCAAAGGTAGACGTAAGAAAGTCCAATCGAGTGCACCGAGAAAACGCAAAAACAACTCTGCTATTCCCAAACGCAATATCGAGGAGAGTAAAATGGAAATGGGCAAGTACGTCGCTAAATCTTACGATTATGTTGACGAGGATATGCGTCTGTTAGAGGAAATGACTAGTAGAAATTCTACACGCAGTGGTAACTATGCATCGAGCTCAAGATGGAATGAACAGATATCACCTGTGTCAACTGAACCTCAAGCACCACGATGGCCTATAACAGATCCAACAAAACCATATGTATGTCAATACTGTGGTGTTGGCTTTGCAAGGGAAAAAGCATTAGCATCTCATGCGCGCGTACATGGCGGTGACAGTCCATTTGAATGCACATCATGCGGTGACATGTTTTGGGATGTAAACAGTTTACGAGAACATGTTCGTATCAAACACGGTGGGACAGTACAATCGGATACAGAAGAGTATGACAATGATGCAACATATACAGGCGACGAGAGATTTGGAGAATTCTATTGCAACACTTGTGGTGTTCCTTTTCACCGTTTAGATTTACTTAAACGTCATCAAAAGTAAGATTATCTAATGAAAAGTTATTTGTATTTGTTAAAGTTACAAATAATGATTAACACTTTGTTTCGACTTTCTATTGATCTACTGGAAAATTAATAACACTGTGATATTAATATTTATTATATTAGGATTCACGTCAAACAAGAAGATGATATGGTTGATGGTTTGAACCAACATCACGTTTGCAATGTCTGTGGAGAATGGTTCGAAGAGGCTTTAGCATTGTTAGCGCACGCCGAACTTCATGCAAGGTATCATTCGTTGAAAATTTACAAAAGAAATGAACAAATACTAAAGAAGTTAAGAAATTTAACCATATTAATGTATGTAGCAATTTGTTTAAAAGTAATTGAAGCGCTTTATTCAGATCACCCAGTCGTCGGTGCTTATTATGCGGTGAAAGATGTCGCGACGACGCTGAAGTCGCGGAACACGTTCGACAAAACCACGCCGAAGATGCGCCACCAAATACGTGTACTCTCTGTGGGAAAACATGTAAAGATAAACGCAGTTTACTAAAACATTCATGGGTTCACAATGTTGACAAAACTTTTGGATGTACAAAGTGTGGAAAACGTTTTCACAGCAAAGCTAGATTACGAAGGTACTCATTAAAAATTTATTTGTGTTCAAAATAAATGATATACCTATTATATGCATCATTGTATTTTAGACACATGGTATCACATCGTAATAAGATGGTAGCCTGTGATGAATGCGGAGAGGAATTCCCCGATGGTAGAGCTCTCGTTAGCCATCGTCATTCGCATAATAAAGATCTGGGCGGACGTTCCTTTCCATGTAGGGAATGTGGAAAAACATTTGGAAGTCGCAGTTCACAGCAGATTCACATACGTATTCACACTGGAGAGAGACCATACGGTTGTAGATTTTGTTGGAAAGCCTTCGCTGACGGTGGAACTTTGAGAAAACACGAGCGTATTCATACAGGCGAAAAACCGTATGGATGCGCGATCTGTCCTCGTGCTTTTAATCAAAGAGTAAGGCACTTTTAGTTAAACTTATTATTGTTTCATTTGAGAATATTCTGTTTTAATGTCTGTTCTTTTTAATCCCTTCAGGTTGTTCTCAGAGAACACGTGCGTGCTCATCATTCAGGTCCCGATCCAAAATGCGTAGGTAGCATTACCCCGTACCTATGTAAAGTATGTGGTGACGCGTATGGAACATCAGAGGAGATAGTTGCGCATATCGTACAACACTGTGACGATAACACTGCATTGAGACGTCAACCGCAAACTGGACCACGTAAATATAAAAGAAGACGCAAACTTAAACCTCATGAAACCAACACGATGCTGCGTATGAGCGACCAATACGACATGATGGAAGGAGGCTCCGATTCTGACGATAACACGAAAAGAAAACTTGGTAGAAAGAATAAGCAACATCGGTCAAACGTCGAAGAGGGATATCAAAATGTTCTTAAAAGCTTTGAGAGCTCTCTACAGAATATAAATTCAATCGTTAGTAATTCGAAGTTAAATCCAGGCAAGTCCAAGCTTTCCAAGAAGAAGCTCAGAAAGGAAGAGAAGAAAAACGAAGCCCAAGCTTCGTGTCATCCTGGCAGGCCAAAAATGATTCACACGCAAAAAACAAGAGTGCCTGTAGAAATAGGTAGTGACGGAGTAAAAAAAGGACAAAAAACTAAAACTATGGTTACAAGGACTCCTAAAGTGATGCCAAATGAACATAAGTTAGGAATTTTTCCAGGTGGGGAAAGAAATAGACCAAGAACAAAAAACGTCAGTTATCATATCGAAGGAAAACTTCAACCGACACCTGCAACATTCCTGAAACCGCAAGATGAAACTCCTGAAGTTCAGATGCCAATGTTATTAACGAATATAAAGCTGGAACCTAATGCGCAGAAACCACCGAGCAACAATCACAGAAATAACAATGGTAATATCCTTGCTATTAAACAAGAGAAGATGGATTCAACATCTAGGAAAAAGTCGGGTGTCTTGAAAAAGATGAAAAAACAGAAGCTTGGAATTAAGCAAGAGCCAATGGATATCGATCAGGAGCAAATACAAAACAATAATAATACTGAGAATACAGACACCGCAAGATTAATGGAACATTCGGTAGATGGAAGTAACTTGGAGATAGCATTCGAAGCGAGTGTTATGGCCGAAGAAGAAAATATGCTTTCCAATGTGGCCGAAGTAAATAATAGCGGGAACGTTAGCACTGGGAACGTACAACTTAGTATAAAAGTTGAATCGACACCTCAACGAATGTTGTCTGTTCATAGTGTTATAACACCTGATGATATTGTCCCAGAAACTATAATACCAGATGCTGTAGAATATACTTGTGAGATGTGTTCCGCAGTATTTTCCAGTCGGGCAGAGTTATTGGTGCATGTTCCAATACACATTTGATTTAATTTGTTCAATGCGATTAAAAGAGGTATGCGAATTTGTTCTATTTTAAGAATATTTGTTTATCAAGCAATATTTTAACGTGGTCAATGAAGGTTTTCCGATTTCTTCGAATTGGCATTATGTTACTATGCCAAAATGTCCTCTACTTGTTGCTCTATGAAGTGTACTAGATTTTTGTGTTTAACATATATTTTAAAAGTTGATGCTGTCTTTAGTTTATTGTGTCATTCAGAAGTACCTAGAAACTTTCGAATGTACTCGTTTTCAATTTCATAATATCGTTATATCCTTTTTATACTACTCATGTTTCTACCAAAAAAAGCTATTTGGCTCAAAATTCATATTAAATCATGACACAATGTGAAATGTTACAAATATTTTATACGTTTACGATGTATGAAGCCAGTTACCCTCGTCAAAGAATTAACATCTTAGATCGCTCTTTTTGCTATCCACAATTTTATGATAAAAATTGATAAAAGAGAAAAAAGAAATAATGGCACTTTATGTACATAAAATGCTGAAGCATTCTAAATATTAAAGCGGGTGTGTTCTATAATAATACTACTCATTTATAAAAATTAAATTTATCTTGTACATTTGCTTTTAGCTCCTAAGTAATTAGATATGTGACAACCAATGCATTGAATTACTATGATAGACCATTTGTATGCAATATTACCATCTAACATAAGGTTGTTTTTCATACATTAATTTTTTACAAACATCAATATTTAGATATCAGTGTAGGATAATTGGAAAACAACATCTTAATGATTTGATTTATATTCAAAATAAAAACAAATTAATTAGTTAACGGCACTTGGGAATGCGCCAATTTATTCTAAATCAAATAACACTGGCCCTATAAAAAACTATGCGTTGTACACATTGCATAGAAATATTGATATTGATTAATTATCATATTATTAAACATTTTGTGACACAAGGAACACGATTACATTATTGCCGTTTCATTAGTATTTATTCTGTAATAAAAACAAGCTCATTATTATGGTATACCTTGTTTATATTAACATATCCAAATGGTTCTTGATGAAGTTGTCATGGAACCATTTAATGAAATTTCGCATTGTATATGATAGATTGTATGAAATAATACGTGTAGAATTTTATGAAGAAAAAAACATTAAAATTTAAACGTTTTGAAGTTTGGAATTATTTATTTTATGCTTTGATAAGTTATGCACAATTAGATCTGATCTTGACTGTATGAAAAGTTCAAATTTTTTAATTCTGTTTGTAAATCCTAATTACCTATATAATGGCATTACATATTGACAATGCTGCATTGTGTTAATATGTAATATCTTATAACATTATTTATTCTTTTTGGGTGCTATCTTAGTATCTTATAAATTCAGGTTCATTTTTAAAGGTCTTATATTATAGCATTATATTACTATAGCAGTACCGACAGACAGCATTTACATCTTCATTTGATTAAAGAAATATAATAAACAAGCATTCAGGGTTTAATTCTAATATCATTCAGTTTAACTTTTAATATTGCATTATTTTTTCATTTAAATACTTTATGAACGATTAATAGTCGTTTATATTGAAACTGTTGTTTTCATTATTTTGCTGATATTTTATATTTTATTTCTTACGTGTTCAACAAACTTTTTATTACTTCGAATTGCATACAATGAACAACAAAGTCATACAACTAGATACCCTAATCTTTAAAAATTTTGAGCCAATTTCAGTTTAAAAATAATTTTAAATATAAATATTTATGCAACATTATGTTATATATATATAACATAATCTATAGTTTGATTATGTTTAATGCAACGAACCAGCGCGGTACCTTTGTAGTACCTTTCTCAGCTTCAAAGTGATATATGTATATATATGTATGATGTACTCCAAAAGAGGATTAATTATATTTCAATGGCACTATATATGGCAATTGATCAAAAACAGTATCTGTGCCCTATTTTTGTAGCCAAGAGATATTTTGAATATAAAAGAAATTCTGATACTATTTGTAGCATTTTGCAAAAAAAAAAGATAATGTATATACATATATATATATATATTTTATTATTTGATGTTCTTACTTTTGATGTCTCTTTAAGAATTGCGCATAGTGCTCGTTATTTGGTTATTTCTGTATTTTCGTACATAAATGAAATTAGTTGAAAAAAGGAATTCAATAAGTGATCGATACAATTGGTAATTTTAGTACTAAGAATATGTTTTCAAGGGAAACATTGTTATAAACGTATTTGAGTAATATAAAAAAAATTCGTTCGATAGTTCCATTCATAGGACAGCATCATATTTTGTATGTTATGTACATAATCGAAGAGTGACTATTTACTTCCGTGATACTTGTAATTATGTCGATGCTTTATGAACGAAGTATTTAAAAATCACCTAAAATGACAGAGTATTAGTCGGACTTTGTACAGTTTCAAAATTATAGTATAAGATATTTAGGAGCAGAAAAATTATACGACCAATGTAAAGGAACAATTTTTTGGGTAAAAATATGTATGTAAATATATATTTACATAGATGTCGAAAAATTCATACAAAGAATCAATATATTATGTATACATGATTTTTATTTGAGTGTCACGCGCGATCACATTCCCGTTTGACGGTAGCTTTAATGTTATTCAAGCGTGTTTAAAAAATTTCTTTAGATAACGCGTGCATAGAGCAGCTAGTGCAGGTGGCAATAATTCCAAAAACTGTAAAAATAAAGAGATCCTGAGGGACATTTGAGAGAAACAAAAATTAAGAACATGTACACAATCTTTTTCTATTTTTTTCTTTTCAATTGCAAGAAGATCGTTCATATGTAAGTATCCGTGGCTTCTTTTTAAAGATATAAGTAAACTAAACAAATGGTTAGTGTAGCATATAATACTGTGTTGCATGATAAAATTTTAAACAGTTTGAAAAGAACTCTTATATGTATTACTTCAGTTGTAAATTAAGTCCTAAGAATATGTATAGACTTATAAGCACTAAATTAGCATCTCATCGATAGGACAATGTTTGTATGTGTCAGGGATGTAGTAGACAAAAGGAAGAACTGTACATATTATTATCTTGAATATGGTACGGTGATTTATTGTTAATCGTAGTGTATTTTTTTTTTAAATAAATTATCAGCAATTATACAGATACAATTAATTATATCCGCACAAAGTCACGGATAATTCAAGGTACATATAGTATGTACAACTGTAAATATGCATTAAGTCATATAATTCGAAATTTTTGTAAATGTCACTTCTATATCACAACAAATTTTGAGAGAAGTGTACTTTATAATTATATATACATAATATTATATAATACTTTTGTTGAATTGCTCTATCAAGTACTTTACTCATTTGTTTTTATTACCAATGAAAATCGATGAGAGGTACAAACTGCGATAAAAGAATTGTATAAATGAATGGTAGATGCATATAATTCGACTTTATACTATGTAAAGTCATGAAATATTATATTATTGAAATCATATTAGCAGTATAATAACAGTGTTTTCACCGTTCATAAAAATGTGTATATTATTGTCTATGTTTATGTTAAGAACAGATAAATAATTTAAGATACTGTATCTTTGACTAGGGAATAAAATCACAAACATTATAAATTTCTTTTTCAAACCCCATACATATAACAGAAATTATGACTAAAAACGCTCCGACGATACTGGTTGACGACGGTTGATCTCCGAAAAAATATACTTGTACGATATAGGCCAATATGATATCCAAAGATCTAGTCACTGATACTTTGCCTGCACCTTCTATTTTTAATGCATTAGTCACTAAAATTTGACCGCACAATCCAGTAAATGCCACTAACAATATTTTACTCCAAGTGAACCAATCATCTGGTAGCTTTAAACTCTGTTCGTGATTTTCCGACACAAAATAGAAAAAGAATACAGCCGTGACCAATGACCACCAAGATATATTGAAGATTATCGTTGAAAAATGGATTTCCGAGCACTTTCTCATCACAACTATGTTGAGAGCTGTGAAGAAGGTTGCTAGGATAGCACATACGTATCCCATAATATTGTATGGTTCAGTTCTGTGTACCTAAAAGAAAGAGATGTTTTATAAAATTGTTAATTCAGAAAGACTATACCAAGAGTTAATTCCTTTACCTGAAATAAAAATGGTGGCTTAGAAACAAACACAACACCAGTAAATAGTACACACATAACGGTTACACGTAATATTCCACATGGTTCTTTTAGAAAAATGAAAGATAACGCAATAACGATCACTGGAGAACTAAATATGATGGTCGTAGCATCTCCAATGGGTAGTTTACGGAAACTATAATACAATAGCGACAGCGTCGCACCTCCTACTATTCCCTATAAAAGATCAAATAATTTAATAGGATCACTTTTTTTATTTAAATTATTTCTACTTCGTATTATGCGAATAACGCTATTACTAATTTTGTAATAAAACGTACCTGGAAGTTTAGGAGTAGTCTTTGACCTTTTGGACCAAATAAACTTTTGGAACTTTTAATGGCTGCTCCAGCCATGACTAACATTTGCAGAATGGCTCTGATGGCCAGTAATATCATAGGGTCTACATTCTGAATTGCTTTAACTAACGCGGAACTAATTGTGAAAAATGTACCTGAGAGAAATGCCAGAAATACGCCAAACCATTTGGTACCCTCTTGATACGTTTCAGCATTATTTGCAAATTGTTCTGTATAATGGTACGCTGGATGTATACTGTTATAAGAAGCAGTAGAGTCGATGCTGAATTTCATCTTCATCGTTCGAGTAACTTAACAGCTACAATATACAATTATACTGAACAAGATATCGGCATACTACTGCCTACCATCTGCTGTCTGGTAGAATTAACATACAGCTTTGCATGTCAAACAGCTTATGGGGGGATTAATGACGGTAGGAAGATTTGAAAAATATAAAAGCAATCGGATTGTGATCAGTCTGACTATAAAACTATAAAACATGAATTGTGACATGAACGAGTACAGAATAAAGTCATTTTACTTTTGTTTATTTTAGATTTAGTGTTCTAATTCGATACGGATGTGCATAATCAAAACAAGTTCTCTTATATCATTGATTACAGTTAATCGGAATTTTAATTTTTTGTTACGTGAATTATATTTATCGTACCGTTATGTCACTCATGCGATTTCAAAACATGTTGGCATAGTTCTGTCTTACTGCAGATTTGTGCTGCACTCGGCGTATATTACTTTTTTGCAAATATTAACGAAATCACGTTAATACAAGTACCAAAATAATGCTCTTTTATTATCAATTTTAAACGATTAATAAGTGTAAGTCTAAATTACAATTATTTATGTTGAATATCTTGTTTAAACATCATCAAAAATATATATATATATGGTCATATAAAAGAGATCAGTCCTTTCCAAATTGCAGAGCACTTGTTGGTTGATCTACACGATAAAACGTAGTACCCAAATTAAAGTATCCTAAATATTCAATAGTTTCTGGAGTTGTATCAATATGATAATGACCACCTTCTCCATGATTAGAAAAGCTGTGGAAGTGTTGAACGCGCAAATCCAAATTCTAAAAGTATAGTGCATATACACTTATTTTATCATACAACACTTAATTAATTTATCATACATATTTTATGATACAACATCACGTATACACTTACATGTTCAGAATTGACAAATGTGCCAACAGCTACAAGAGGTGTTGACATGTTATAAAAATGCAACCAATTGTTCAACTGTGCTTCCGTCTTAAGAGGAGTTGTAGAGAAATCTGGCATGATATGTTGTTTAACTTTTCCATCTCTCATTAAAAATGTTCCTCCTAATCCTATAGTTACAACAAATTAATGTCAGTGTTTGAACATAGCTCTTACTTAAATTCATCATCTATAAGATCAGCTTACCAACAAAATTATGTTCATAATGTTGTGCAAGTGCATTTCGCATGCATGCAATAAAATCGTCATTGCCAGTACGCTTCTTGGCATGAACTTTTAAAACTTGTCCTGGTTTTCCTTCGCTAACAAACAAGTTGGCTAATAGAGCTAATCTTGTTTCATCGTTAGGTAAAATTTTTAGCAAATTATTTCCGTTTGTTTTATCAATATATGAAATACGAGTTTCATTTTTCACATTAGAAGCTGAGACAAGCATGTTCATTATAAGCTGAAAAATTATTTATACAGCAAATTAGTTTAAATGAAATATGTCAGAATTGTAATCTGATGAGTATACCTCACAGTTGGAATTTAGGTAAGGCCATGGTCCAGCACCTGCTCCAATAACAAGGGAGTCTTTTGGATATTGCAAATGATTCAGCAGTTCTTTAATGTCATACAACTTGTCTCTTTGTACAGAGGGAAGAAGAAATGGTGGACCACCAATATCCAACAATGTTGGATTTCCACCCAATCCTAAACACATGATACATTGCATTAATTTAAAACAAGAAAATATTCTGTTTCTAAAACATTACCTGGTGCAGCAAGGTTGAAAGGTTCCTGTGTTAAATCAGGACAATCGACAACTTCTATTTGGACTTCAGAAAAATTTTTTACTAAGCCTTCTTTTAAAACTAAAAAAACAGATCACATACATTATACTATACAGTTCTCTTGTTAATTTCTATTACAATTTCTATTATTCAAGAATTACCATTTTTTACTTCATGAAGTGAAGGTACATGAAGTTCTCTTTTTTCAATGTTAAGTTCGTTTGGGTTTAAAGAAGCCATGGTTGGTGTATTAATATAGTGTCACTTATAAATTTGAATTAAAAATGTTAGTTTTATGGTAAATAAAATTTTTAATACCAACTAATGAAATTCGTAGAAGTTTCAATATATCTTCGCTCCAATGTAAATTTTCTTTGCAATTAAAAAGCTGAACAATATCGTTCAAAAGAAACAAGGAGACTGGCAGAAAGCAGAATACATCATTTTACCATTAAAACTTCGCTTTATCTAATCGCGTGTTCATACGCGCTCTTATTTCGTAAGAGTGAAATAACTTTTTACCACGTACTTACGATTACAATAATGTTGATACGTGATAATGTTTTACGTATAGTCGCTGGTAGGGATCTTGTGAGGTCATAAATTAAAACAGTAGTTATTGCTTTATTGACACAGGTAACTGATTTCGGGGACGACAGGGTATGAGCATACATAAGAAGAATAAAGTTATCGAAATATGAATCTCCTAATTCTGATATCGTATGGTCCTGAATGAAAACTTGAAAAGTCTAGCTCTATCCTTGCCTAAAAAGGTGTCAGATTACTAATTGCGGTCAATTAGAATCTGACACCGATCAATCGATCTCCGACCGATTTTACGCCTCACAAGATCCTTATCCCATTAAATTAATTAATACAAAAATTAATAGACCAGTACCATTTCTAGTAAAGATTAGATCACAGAGGAGGTAAAGGATCCTGTACCTCGTCTGTGATAAGATGATAAAAGTATTGATTAATGTAAAAAACTTTCCAGTTGGAAGTAATACATAATTTTCCTCAAAGATAGCGCCACAATGTATTTATTACATATTACGCGCGTAAAATTTTTAAGTATACGAATCCACAGTTATGTTTGCGATTAAATTTTACAGAAATAATTCGTCGTTACATTTAATCACAATTTTGTATCCTGTTAGATTCATTTATGTACATTTTTTATAAGACATGAATTAAACGTTACGATACTCTTGGAAATGGTTCGCGTGATCTCAATCTATACACTTAACATACCAAAATCTTGATTACTATCGAGTACATATTGTTCACAAGAGTAACTGCTTAGTCTTGATAAAAAGACGTCATGAGAAATGTTGGTTGTTTGCTTATAATGCTTAATTTTTTGAAACAAAGATTGTAATATACCTCGTATCAACAATTAATGTATATTAAATATACATTAATGCTCAAAGTTCTAGACTCTTTACAAATAATTCTACAGTTCAAGATTGACAAATTATAGTCTTATCTTTTTAAACGTTGTTTCAAATTAATATTCCCCATTCCCGCCTCAAAGAAAATTTCCTCTGATCTTATATAAAAAAAAAAAAAAGATGGGGAAGAGGGTTGGAGTACGTCGGTGGTCTCGGTAGGGTTGTCGTGGATGCGCATTGGGTATCGAAGGAGTTTGTCCCGTATCAACGTGGACGTTCCTGGATCGCATCGTCAGTATGCGGCCGCGCATTCCATGTGGGAACACCTGTTTGCTCTTTTGCCTTCTTCGCCAACTTTCTCGATCCCAAGCCGCGTAAATTACCATCGCGCTTGTTCTATTTTATTTAAGGTACCGAAAAGGAGACATTACTCCTGTAAATCACTTCAAAAACTTGAGGGAGAAGCGGACAGAGGGAATACTTTGTCGAGCTATTCTCGTCGAAAATTAAATGGCAGAATATTTTTATCGAAGCGTCGTTAATGTCGAGACGTACCAAGCGTGATACCGTTGAACGATAATAAAAGAGAGAAACGAGCAACCCTGTAGATTATCGACGGAGATCAAAAGGGAGAATCGTTAAAACATCGTTCGGTGAATCTGCGCGTGATAGATCTATATATCAAGAATAAGAGATAAGAAGCAAGACATAAGTGAGCGAAAGAAGGAAACAAGATACGATAGAAAGGGCGAAGGAGACGAGGAATATTATTGAGAGAGAGGAACGTTCTCGTGACTTCAACCACGTGTCTCTCGTGGTCCTCGTTTAAACACGCGTAAGAGCAATTTTCCTCTATTGACGTATACGTGTACGTCGGTTATTTGTGGTCACCCGCATTCGACGACCATTATTTCGTCTTGTCTCCTCGACACGGCGGACTTTGTCGAAAATTTAGCAAGCTACCCTGGCATGAGACTTTTTCAATATTAATTAACACCCCTCGTTCGCGTCTTCGCCTCGCATGCATTTTCCCGATTTCTACAACGTAATCGATCATTGAGTTTATCCCCTTCATCCGGCGTTCAACTAACGTAAGCATTAAGCTACGTTCTCACGTGTGCAGTGCACGACGTGGAACACGTTTGAACCACTTAAGGTATCGTGTACCAAGGAGGCGCTTCCTTTGGATGTGTTATGCATCGCGCGTTATACATGTGCGAACGTGGCTTAATATTTGAAGCTGAAATTGAAGAAACGTTCTTCTGCATGTTACGATCCAGAATCACTTTCCAGTCTCCATCGTTGGCGCGTGAAAAAATTACTGAGCGTTGTGATTGAAAATCTAGAGGTAGAGTAAATGGAAGTATAAACATAGTACAGGAATAATTATAAATTTGCTTTAGATAGATTTGGCGTGAAGCTTTTCCTAGGTACATACCGAGCACGATTACTTTTTCTTCCGAAACATTAGAAGAACTGGCATTTTAGTGCGGAGGCAGTTCGATGCACGTGATCTTGAATTTCCTTGCGAACAGGCAGGCGTTGACTGAACTTAAATTGCATTTGTTCCAGGACAGTACGCTGTTGATGATAGGAATTATAATTAATATTGGAAAATTTAATAGAATAGACCTAATGACCTATTGTTTAGAATGTTAAAGGAGTGAGTTTGACCCAGTACACGAGTTGGATGCGTAACTCTATTACGGTTGTCTTAACATATTATCGGTACAATTTTTCTAGTTGGACATAAAGAGACAATCTCTCCATGTTTTTTTTCTAAATCAGAAATACGATCTCAGTAGTGTATTTTGCATCACGTTTGTAAGACACGACGGGCGCATCGTACGGTAGGCAAGATTGCAGCCGGGTAGATTATTTGTAGCCGTGTCGCCATTGAGATGGTTTTATGGTAACCCCTTCCCCCGCGTACCTTTATATCGAGACTGAATGGACAGAGAGAGTAGCCTCCTCTATGAGATAATACGCCTGGTTGTGCCTAAGCCATTCAGGCCCGAAGTCGGATCCATCGAATCGCGAAAGATCGCGCGAGGTGAGGGTGGACACCGTGCAGGCCCCTGCAGTCATGCTCACCATCCAAAACGAGTGAGTATATCGGTTTGCATGCGGTATATCGTGGCTACGCACGATCCATCGGCTGCATCGATGCATTCGTGCACACCTGTCGTTCGCTGTTGCGCTTTTTCGCCTTCTCAGCTTTTCAGAAATCCGTTGCCACACGCTGATGGGCTTCTTCTTTCGTGGCTTTATCGACCATCGTTTCAGAGCACCTACGCCGCTGGGATTCATGACTTTTCGGCTGTTACGCAGCTTATACGAGACGATGGATTAAAGTAAACACCTCGTGATCCGTACTTCTTTCTTCTCTCCTCTCGAAAGCTCTCGTCAACTTCCTAACTTTGCGATCTCGTTCAGTTCACCTCTGATATTCCGTTCACCTCTTGCCCTAGACGTGTCGTTGTTTGTTTGTTTGTTTACTTAGTAGAGCTTCTAGAACCTAGAGAAGAGTTCTGGTATCAATCTTGTTAATTTAAAGTGTTTCCAAAAATTACTCGTGCCTACTTCTTCCTTGAAGAGTTCGTGGTTTCGTGGTGATGACGTGGCTTAGCGTTTAGGGACGGTGTCGTTATACGAGGGTACGTGGGAAACCTCGAAAGTAAACGATTTTAGGTTTGCTAGATCTTCGATAAGTCTCTTCGGCGCGATTAGCGTATGAATCGAAGATATTCTTAAATCGATCGTGCTCTCTAATTCTGAAACAAAAATTTTACTGACATTATTTTTCATCAAAAAGGTAAAACCTTTGCTTTCGTAGTAAAACAAGTGTCTACTTTTTAATACACTAATTCTCCTCCTATTTCTTTTTCTCTTCTACCGTTAAGAATTTTGCTGTTTTCCTGTGGATATACTGAAAGCCATTATGTTTTGGGGAGAGATAGGTAACAGGGCCCACGCAATTACGAAAGTGCGGTTCGTGACAGAATCGTGACGCAGTTCCTCGCAACGACGTCGATTCCCTTTGGGTTATGTGCAGTAACACGACAATAAACCACTACAGTAGCGGTGCATAATCTAATGGCACTTTGCGTTCGTGCGACAAGTATAGGACAGTGGAGGAACAGGCTGCACCTGGCTTCCCTGGTTCGTTAATTGCTGTGCTCTCTCGGCTCGTGTCGCATTATTCTGATGGTCAAAACAACAACAATCAGGGGTTAAACAAAAAAAAAAAAAAACATGTGCCTGTTTGGTATCATTCTCTAAAAAAACACTTGTTTCTTATTAATCATGGCTCGTCACCTTTTCTTTTTATATCTTCTGACATCTATAATGTCCAAGTCACCGAGTTCTCTTAGGTTTTCTCCTGCTCCCTAGTGTCTTTGTCTTCTGGCGTGAGTCTTCTTTGGGTTGCAATTTTCACCTGATCTCCCTAAAAGCAGTGGATCTTTTACAATTCGCCACGGAACACGCAAAACACATCTGTATACGCGAATACGATATTTCCAAAAGCCCTTGAGACGCTTATTCATGGCTATGTCAACGTTCGTATCGCGTGATACCCTCGCATCTATTCGTGTTAATGCAGTGTACGCGCGCCCATTTTACCATGCGCGTTTACCTCCCCGTTTGTTGTCCTTGCTTTGCTCCGTTTCCATCGGGGGTACTTAGCACACTATGGATCGGGGACATTCGAACCGTTTAAAGGACTGTTCCCGTGCATTTAGAACCCACTCGATCGCACTAGTAAGTATTGGTAAACAAGCGCGCCTCATAAAATGGACAGATCCTCTTGAGAAGAAGACATTAACCATCCAGACCTTTCAGCGTCTTGGACGCTCGCTCGTAACAAAATGGAGCTAAATTTAGAAACCGCGGAAATCTTGGAGCGTTCTCTATTTTCCAAAGTTTATACGACTCGGGGAACGCCATTGTCTTGCGCAATTAGAGTAAACGTAGGTTATACAATAGCGTCGGGGGTGAAAACTTTCCTCCTATTGAAACTGAATTTCACTTCAAAGAGGAGGGTATTGTCAGACAGAGAACTGAATATCGCCTGTTACCACGTATCCGTAGCATGACAACTTACATGATTATAGTTTATGAAAATCAGATGCAAATATGTCTTTTCTCTCTTTGAAAGTTCACCACCAAAGTCTGCATTCCGATTGTACCAATTAATCGAGTCAGGAGGTGCACCAAGCATGGCAGACAAATTGGAGCAAGATTCTCGCGTGAACTTGGATAGGATCTACCGCCTGTTGCTTCTCGAAGACAGGAATAAAGAAACGTCGTCGCGATTGCGAAGATTTTTCTGGGGTTCCCCTCAGTCTAGCTAGGTAGTCGTGCCACGAGCAGGACGAGCTTACTAATTTGTGACTGAACCGATATTTCTGACAATCAAGTGCTATTCAACTGGCAGACGTCGTCCAATTCTATCCTTGGATGTTTGATTTTCTTTCACGACGCATAGAATAAGAAGCTCGCGTATCAAAGACGGTGTATATACAAGATCACGATGACATTCGTGGCTTGCTGATTGCAAATCTGCTCTGTTATCTAACTTTTCGCGCTCGAGAGATTAAATATTGTCCTACGTTGAAATGTCAGTGCATGCTATCAGGCCAAACGAAGGCTTACCACAGGCAGGGTGACATTTCTGAATATTAAATTAATGGCTCAATCGAACCTGTATGTTGGTCGTGGTCCAACTACTCGTAAACTTTTGTTAAATAACGAGTTATTGAACTTTCCATCGTTTAGATGCTGACCCCTAGCAATTGGCCATAAACAGTCTCTTAATGTACTTAAACGTGAAACGGCTAACATAGTTTAAGTACAATGCATCACTGCTTGTAACTTATGCATGCGCACGCTCATCCACGCAACTCTCGCCTGATTGTACACATTTTTACCATAAACACGTACATACCTATATCCACAATCGAATCAATACGTAAAAAGTTTTCTAATCGAATATTCAAGGAAAAAATATAATTATTTCAGCATGTCACCGCGCAATGGCTCGTGCGTGGCGGAAGTGAGCTCCGTGAGGAGTCTCTCGTCGGATGATGTTTCAGCGACCAAGCCACACCGAAAGAAGTCCTGCTGGGCACGTGCCACCGATCCAGCTCATCGCCGTGGACGTCGAATCCAGCTCCTGCAAATGCTGGTGCTGCCATTCATACCGATCCTTGCGTTGATCGTTCAGACGGCCAATACGCTCCACGACATCCTAATTTATCGGCAAGAGGTCTCAGACATCGAGACACAGGTAAAAAGTCACACGTTTTTGGGATCTAGAAAGAAATTTAGATGTAGGTATCAAGTATGATTTCATTGATTTCATGTATGAGGCTACTGCGTACTTGGTGTATACAGGCTTCGCAATATAGAGTACAGGTATCTTCTCTGAACGATACTGGTAGCGCGTAAAATCGAATTAATTAACAGGGCCAAGAACTTGATGAAATTATCTGAAATGCTGTTAAAACCAGCTATCAAGTTCTCGTGAATAATAAACAGTCAAACCTGAAACATAAAAAGAGTAATAAAATATACTAGATAGATATACTATATACTATACTATAAAGTTATATACTATAAAGTGTTGGAGCATGATTAGCCATCGGTACCTTTTTTCATTCAATCGATGTGGATCGTTCATCAAGCTACAATGCACTCGTTCCCACTTTAATGGATCCTTTAAGATCCTTTCACGATCAGACGGACTCGCTTCCTGTCGTGTATTTCTTTCCTTACGGGCGCGTAATTATACGAGCAGTATAATTAGGTCGGACTCGTATAATTCAGTGGCAATCGATCGACAAGCCGTCTAACAGTAACGAAGGAATGAGTAAACATCCACCACACCTACGCACTCTTTCGTTCGAGTGTGGTTGATGGGTTGCTCGCAAAGCCGTCCATTTCTTCGATTGTTCCCGCACATGAAACATAGATCATTGTAACGAATCACTTCTGTCTACGATTTACAACAATTGTCTCCTTTGATTCGCATCATTCACCTATAATAACAAAACGATTCCCTTGGGAAAGAATTGAACTCTTCAAATTAAACATTTGTTTATTGAGGCGAGTCTCTTGAAAAAAAAAACTAAAGAATACTTTTGTAAGAAGAGAAATCGAAGGCATCGATCGTAAATTAATGTTTCCTCGAAAAGGGTGTGAATCAACAAGCAGTACATTCATCCTACGTGACATTTTACCTCGATGCAAACACAAGTAGCACAAGTACACATAATCATTCTAATAAATGTGTCGAACGCGATAATAATTTCGTATTCGACGCACGTCCTTTCATTATTTCCCTTCGTGAGCAATTTTTTACGTAGTTTTTTTTTTTTAAAGAAGAAAGGTCTTACGCTAACGCGGTATATAGATGAAAATTATCGCTAAATTTGAATCGCAGCAGCCCTTTTGTGGTTGACCTCGAGTCTTCATTTTCCACGCGAATACCTTCTTTAATGCTACCGACGAACACGTTAAATTTCTATTGTCAGCATAACGAGGGGACAAACGCGAAACGATTTTGCACCCTGTAAAGTCGATTGCGTTTGACGTTCGCGTTTCAGGCGATACGAACCTCGGAAATTTTGTTTTCACGCTGATATTCGTCTCTATAGTTGGTCGAAGCATGCAGAAATAGATTCAACAATCGCAGACGCGATGGATCAATCGATCGTAAGCGCTTTGTTATAGGTGCTCCAATTTCAATGAATCTGTTTACTGGTGTTATCGAGATCACTGGCTGCCCGTTGGACGGAACGTTGTTAAATTAAAACGATGCATAGTAACGAATATTGTCGCGCTGGAATTCGCGCGACGATATTCAAAGAGACGCGATGGTATTTTTTGAAATAGGATACGGTCCTCATGGGGAATAGAAACAGGCTAATGGTGTTTTCGACGCGATCCCCACTTGTCCTAACACGTGCCGCGGACAAAACACGACAGTGTCGAAAAGAAAAGAGAAAAAGAAACGCGAAAGATTCAATTCGCTACTGGTCGGTATGGAATTATTGATCACGCGCCGTCGACGGTGATATTTCGAATCGAGATAGGTACATGTAAATAAAATCGACGGTAACCAATTCAATCATTGCACGGTACGCTGATCATTGACAAAGACTAGACCATTATTATTTCATCGCGCATTGAATCTTTTGGAATGTTTGCTTTTTTTTACACACGGAATCGCATTGTTGCCAAGAACGATCGATCCTTGAAAACGCAGCTAGATTTTCAATTAATAGAAGAAGCACTGAAACGAAACGTAATCAACGCGCTTCGATGATTCTTTTCGATATATACAGTGATGGCGGTACAAACGAGCAGCGAATGATTCCTCGCGGAAAAATAAGTGGAAAGAGCTATAAAATTTCCACTGCGTTTTTCTACAACATCCTATAATAAAATACAATAAATGCATCCTCGACGTCTCGAGGGTCCACCCCATCGTCGTCGAAGCTTAACGTTTTGTCAACAAAGGGCTGATCGTTGCGTAACTCGCGGGAATGGGTAGGCAAAGAGGATTAACGTCCCTTAATTCCACCCTTGCTCGCGGTCGAAGAAATTTCCAATCTAGAATGAAGTAGTCTCGGTTCGTTCGTCACGGTGGACATCGCGCGTAGCCCCCAGAGGGTGGCGGCGGTGGTCGAGATCGAAATTCATCGGAACGGGGTGTAGCCTCGAGTACAGCCTCACCCACCCCTCGATCTCGAGTTACTTGTTTGACGAGCACGCTGGCGTGGCACCCGCAAAAGGCGGAAAAGAATGGACGCGCTTCTCTCTCGTCCTCCTTCCCTCGTCGATTGTAAGCACGTCGAGAGTTTTATACCGGTCCCGTTGATGCACCGCCACGCCCTTCGCAATGAAACTCTATGAGAAAAATTGCCAGGAGTCTTCTCTAAAATGTTCAACTCTTACAAACATTACAATTCTGATAACGAACAGTCTAAATATAACGAACACCACTTCCTATTATCTAAAATAGTAGCCGTGTTGGAATGGCTTCTTTCTAGTGGGTCACTCTGTATAAAAAAAAAAACAAAGCTGCAACATAAGATACTTCCACCTTCGCGGTATTCTCGTGTGTTGTCGCATAGGCGATCTATAATTATCGGAATACTTTAGGAGCACGGAACGCAAAAGTATCGACTTGCAAGTATACTAGAAGGCCATTCAGGTACTTGGAATTTCGAGTGATTACTCGATGTATAATCAGGTGCATTCGGTCACTCTATCCCTTGTCACTTTGTCCTTTACGATTAATCCTATCTACTTTCTGTACGATCGAGGACAACACCCATCATTAACTGGCAAAACGTCGATCCATGTAACTTGAAACGCTCAAGCAAAATCCTTTCGAGAAGTTAAACTACATGTTTTCATCTTGTTCACAGGAGATTCCTGAAATCATCGAGCAATGGTTAATGGTTCTAAAACAATTTACTAATAATAAACACCTTGTTGCATGTTCTCACTCGTCCAATATCGATTGAATTTCCAACTGTTTCCAGGTAACAATTGCCACCGACTTGGGGAAAGTAGTGACGAGGATGCAACTCGAAAGATCCGAGGTTGCATTCTTCATTTATACCAACGGCAACACCCTAAGGTAATGCCAACCGCGCTATCATTTCTATAAATTTCGTAAAGTTTCACGCTGTATGTTTCGTGATGCGATCAGCGTCACATACCATTGTTTATTCCTTTCACTGTTTGCTGGGAGTATTGGAAGCGTCTTGATCTCTGGGCATACGTGACTCGGTAGCAGAAGCTCTTCCTAAGAAGAGGAACCCTTTACAGGCTAATAGAGACAGATGAGCGACAGGGTGCCTTCTAATCAAGGCGCACTCGACGTAATACACTTTTCCTTGTATTTCAACAAAACAATAGCGTCATGGAATACAGGAGTAGCTTTAGGATCTAAACGAAGATCTACTTAATCCTCATCGTAACAAACAGGAATTTAAATGCTTGTGCCTCCGTGCAGTCTTAATTTCTTCGATATAGTCAAAGCTGTTAATAAAAATCATTTAGATTTCCTTAAATAAATCTTTTAAAAACTTTCTGCGTGACACTATTAACAGTCGCGTTGAAGCTTGAGCTATCTTGCAATTATCCAATACTCTCGAATTCAAGGTTTAGGATGTTAATTAGAACCGTATGATCAGTGAAACGTGACACGTTGACCCGACCCTTTCGCTTGAATTCTCCCACAGAACCATGAAAAAGTCCATTCCCAACGAAATTTTCGTTACGAGAACAGTTTCACGATCCTTGAGGGAGAGAAAAACTGGATCTCGGTTAAACGAGAACTAAAACGAACAAACAAGTCACCACCGCCAATTATCGACGTAGTTAACTGATTAGCCACGGTCTTTTACACCTGTTCAAGGTCGAACTTGACGCAGAGGTTCGCCATAACCGATCAGGCTCTCCACAATATGACTACGTGGCCCCTGGTCTCGGTGCCGAGGGATGAGAGCAAGACGCAAACCTATGACGTAGTCAGCAAAGAGGCCTTCCAAGCACGCCTCGAGGATTTCAGGTAACAAATCGATCGACGAATGTTCGAGGTCTTCTCACTCCAAGCAGAGTCCACGTGGCCACGCGTTTATGACGTCAGAAGATCCCCCGTGTGATGGTTTCGCTTTGATTGCTGTAACAATCGCGACGCGATCGTTTGACCCTTTTGAAGTTGTGCGAGATTATGGGCTCAGTCGATGGCTGCACTACGCGTTTAAAGAAAGAAAAATATGGGTGGCAGTCCTCCAGTAGGATATGTTTACACATTGAATTAGTTCTAATGGCTGCCTTTGTAGAAGCAATACTCGCTTGTATGGAAAGTTACGCCAGAAGCCTCTATTCCCTCGAGCCTCCGTACCCGACACTTGTTGAATTCTCATTCAGCCTCGAAGTGGAGAATTCTACTTTATCGCGAGCCTCTCCCTGTTGGCCAACGCGACAAGAAGTTTCCTCCTCGACGTTTCGACGAACCGAACTTTTATTCGTATCGATGGATCTACATTCTTGGAGGCCTATAATTAAAGTTTACGAGGAACCCGTATTAAAAACATTGTTTACAAATACTATTACAAATATCAGACACAGTCATTAACAAAATTAGCATACATGCCAGTGACAATTAAATTCAATTACTAAATACCAATACTTACATTTTACAATATCTTCTGTACTGTTTAATAGCTGTAATCACATAACGTGTATCACGCAGTATTTTTTCATATTTTTTTGTCGCTTTATCATATGTCAACGATTTCATAACATCATTTTCTATAGATAACATAGATAAATTAATAGGTACAATTATCATGTTACCATTGCCATAAGCGTTATCGGGATTAGATAAATCAAAAATAAAGTGAACACTGGAAAAATAACATAAATGTAGACGAATGGAAAATGAACAAAATAAATAATACGATTCAATAGTACAGTATACGGAATTATTTGAGAAAAATTCTCCAGATTCTGTGGAGCCGTAGGAAAATAAATGCGAGTCGATTAGGGTCGACGTTTTTATTCCTTCCAGATACTCGCGTTTATGCACGCTCTCTTTTATACAAATCCGCTTAATTTCTTACAGTCCCGAGATTCTTCGGTAGATAACTTGGAAATCCTCTTCAAAAACCTTTGTGACGTCGTCTCCTGTAACAATGAGAATATTTGATTAAAAGACAAATATATAAAATCGTGTAGAGTTAACAAAATTTAATAATGCCACGATGCAAGCTCTGTCGTCGTTAATATAGCTCGCGTACGCGAACAACGAAGAAACGAAAGTTGAAAAAATAGAAGAAAGTATTGGAATATCAGGTAGCCTGTCGTCGGTGCCGCATCGGGAGAAGCAATATATGTCGTCTTTAATGTTGCGTTCGTGTACGGACAAGGGAAAAACGATAGTTGATAAAAATAGAACAAATATTTGCATATCAAACAGTGCATATCGACGCGTCGAATACAAATTGTTGACGTACACAAAATACACAACATTTCAAACGTCCATTTACAGTTGGGTATTTAAGGGACTAATTAGTGAAGGAGAATCAAAAGACGTGACAATGCAGAGTACTCTTACAGAGATCTGACTTATTGTTAGTGATCGTAACTAGATTGAAACATGGCATTTTGAATATTTTTGATTAGGTCTACTCTGTGAAACTACTCTGTACGACGTCAAAACGACGCAAGCGTTTATAACAGCACCGTGTCGTGTCGCATTCGTCTTCTCATATCGATCGATTATAAAAATACGTGACCAGGACCCGCTTTTTCCTGAGATCAAGTCGAATCGAAACTATGTACCGCGTCTCTATAAAAACAGTTGAAAGAATAGAAAATTACCACTCAGGAATATTCCCGAAATTTGTTTTTGGTTCGTTGCTTGCACGAAGCTTCGCGGTACAGTATCAAGCTCGTGGATGAACAAGAAAAATTAGTAATCGTTACGCAGTTACGAATCCACGGATATATACGCAGGATGGAACAACATTAATACGCCTCGATCGGGAATATTTGCAGGAGGCACGTTTTTCATTTGGCCGAACTGAAAACGACATACGACCCCGGTAACGGAGCACGTTTAGCCGATAAATCGATACGACAATGAAGTATCGGTACGGACAGTGCAGGCCAGCTCTCCTCGAAATCAACTCGTATTATAAAATCTCTGGGAAAGCTTGATTGACAATCTGCGAAAACATGCGATACTTTAGGGCGTCGATATAAAAGAATTTCGGAAAACATAATTTGAGGAACTTTGTAACTTTGTTTCAAGTTGGTAGAAGCAACTTTGCAAGCTCATACATGGCCACGATTTCTAGGCAGATCTATTTGCTTAACCTTATCTTCAGAGAATTCCGCAAATGGAAGTTCCGTCGCGCCAAAGAGCGTTAGACCGAGGGATCAGTTTCTCAGGAAATTCTCCATCGATCGAACACGAGTTCTGGCGGTTTCTCGGCTGTTGGCTATTACACGACCACATGTCAGACAATAGAACGCGTTTCTGTCAGCGGGAGCACCGGTAACAAGCCGCTAACAATCCTCTTCGTCTTCCATCCGTAAAACATTACACGTCCCTGACAAAGATGGCGAGAAGTAGAGACGAATAGATCCTACATACATATATGTATTAACTCGAACTCATCCAAGACCAAATAGCACCATTCGATTCCCTGCGTTCTATTAATCGTGATCGTTCGACCTCAACGGAATTAATTATCGCAGTCGTCTAGGTGATTATTTTCAACGTTCCAGGGTGGAACTTTCTCTATGATCACGGCTCGTTTCACTTTGCTCAATTAGCGCCCTAATGATATTCGTTTTGCGGGCCCTCTGTATGTCAAAGGCGTGTACAATGACAAGTAATCGAACTAACAGAAGTTACAGCAACTATTACATCGGTTCCACAAAGAAGAATAAACTTAGAATTATGTGACATTGTCTGACTCTTATGTAGAATTATTAGAATATTCGATTAAGGGTGAAACGTCATTCTATCGTTCGTATCAATGCAAACGTGTGATAGGCACGCATACGACACGAAACCTGAAACAAAAAAAAACTAGGATGTGACACACGCGCGAATTACTTTTTTTTCTCTCTCGCTTCTCGGCCTTCTCCATCGAATCACCTTTACGAGCAATAGATGAGGTTGTCACACATGAGCGCGTGACCGCCCATTTGGAGCAGTAGACAATATTTTTAGACCCCTCTTCCCGCCTTCCTCTTTCCGCCGCTTCTGGCTTTCCTCTCTGTCGCTCTACGAGTATCGCGTCTCTGACTAAAAGCTGTGATGCAACGTTTAGGTCGATTTTCTGTTAACTCGATCAACTCCATCGGCGAATGCGAGCTTGGAACAATGAAATTATCATCGATATGCCCCCCTTCGGTCAACGTCGACCGAACAGTAAAAGTTGAACACGCAGGAACGTCTATAGCGTTACCTCCACGTCGCGTGTTTACCTTCAGAGGGTGATGGACATTGGTAGAGTTAACCGTAAATGAACGCGTTACCAACCGATGTAAAACAACTAACTTTATGCGAGTTAAAAAACCAAAGATTCAAGGGATCTTTGAGATCACTTATACTGCCAGTAGTAAAAACACTTCCTTACATACTTTCTATTAGCTTCTTAGTTCCATCTTCTTCCAGGCAAAAGATAAGTTCAGAAGAGAGTAGCATAACCGAAGTGATGACATGGTATACAAGCGTAAACGCGGCGATGCTGGACCACCTGACAAATCAAATCAAAGAAACGGATAACAGTGGCGTTTGGAGGTAAGGAAAATAAATAAATAATTTCTACCATTGTTTTCCTGCTAAGCTGAGAATGTTGCAGTTCACTAGGCGCGTCCAATTGTATCTTGAAAATTATTTCCGATATTTGACTATGTCCATCTAATATGTACAATGAATTTCCATTTCAGGTATTTGATAGCCTTTAAAAATTTACTGAGAAGCATCGAGAGCCTGGGTATTGCTTCCGTGTACGGAATCAATTACTTCGGACGCGGAATCCTTGTGGGGGATAATTACGTCAGCTACGTACGCCACGAAGCTCTAGGACGTGATCTTCTCACAGGATCCCTTACATACGTGCCTTCTCTTAAGCATTTTTATGCGGAACTCACTCGTACCATGCCAGATTATAGCAGAATAAAATCTAGGTAGATAAAGAACGCGTAAATTAGACGAAGATAACAACTCTGATCGGTAAAATGCATGATATGGAATAGATAGGTTTAATTTAAAAGATATATGTGTCCCAGGAGAAACGAGATCTTGAAGAACCAGAAGAGAGAGCCAAGCGTCGATGACGCGATCGCTTATTTCGATTCTATGGCGACTTACGTCGACGAGCTACGGAAACTTCAGCGAGAATTACGTCACATGATAAGGTAAACATTTATAGCGAAGCTATTTGATGCTTGCAATGAACATGAATGCACCCACAAAATCAAAGATTAAATTAGAAACTTGATAACGGTGATTTTTATCCTAATTTAACACAGGAACTACGTGAATTCAACCTTGCAAGACGCGAGCAACAAGGAAGTTGCTGGAATAGCTATAGTCGTCCTGGTGTTGGTCGTATCCCCTATTATTATAATACTAGTACGTAACGCGGTTGCCACGATACAAGTAAGTAAAACCTAACAATTCGTGATTATGTGTTCTAGAAAGAGCTTCTGTCCCATCTAATTTAATTCCAGTGCTGGCTTGATAGCAAAATAAAAGACTCGTTGTTCCGTTTTTTGGTCTGAATGCTTGCATCTGTAACAATTACAATAACGATTAAAATTCCCGTTACAAACTAAACGATACTTTTTTTAGATGTACGCTGCCAATTTGGCTCAAAAGGCGCGAGAACTCAAACAGGAAAAAGGGAAGAGCGACACGCTGCTCTTCCAAATGTTACCGCCTAGCGTCGCTCAACAATTGAAGCAAACTCAACAGGTACTTTGACAAGGATTCTTGCATCTGCATTGTTGACATCGATAGCTTTTAACTATGCTTCCATTTGAAAGGTTCCAGCTGAATATTATGAAGCAGTGACCGTGTACTTCAGTGACATAGTTGGATTCACCGAGATCGCTGCAGAGAACACTCCCCTAGAAGTAAACAATTTCGTTATAAAATTAAAGATTCTCCATTCCTACTTCAAACCATCGTATACTTTCAGGTTGTTACATTCCTGAACTCCATCTACAAGCTCTTCGATGCTCGTATAGAGTGCTACGACGTGTACAAAGTAGAAACAATCGGTGACTCGTACATGGTTGCCTCTGGCTTGCCAGTTAGAAACGGTAGACATTCTTGTCTACGTTCGTATTATACTAACTTTTCTACTTCATTTTTAAACGCGTTTAATCGTGCGTTGTCTTGCAGGCGACAAACACGTATCAGAGATAGCGACGATGGCACTCGATCTTCTGGCAGCATCGTCAGTGTTTCAAGTGCCCAAGAGACCAGGGGAACGACTTCAAATCCGCAGTGGCGCTCACACAGGGCCTGTTGTTGCTGGAATCGTTGGAAGCAAGATGCCTCGTTACTGTCTCTTTGGAGACACGGTGAACACGGCCAGTCGTATGGAATCTACTGGGGAAGGTACCTCCTTGTGCATCTCATTGTTTCTTAATGTATAATAGTTTCCGCGCTTAATTATTAAACTCTCGTTGCACACAGCTCTGCGAATACACATTAGCCTGGAAATGAAGAAAGCTTTGGACGCCGTGGGAGGATTCAAAATAGTGCATCGTGGTCTAGTGGACGTCAAGGTTTGGACATAGAGAACAATGTAAAATACTTTATTATCAAAGTGCCCTAATAATATTCAGTTTCGCAGGGTAAAGGCCTGATGGATACCTATTGGCTAGAGTGCAAGGATGGTGGAATCGCCCGTGCAGCGGAGCTAGATCTACCCACGTTCTTCGAGGACGTTCGACCAGTTTTCATACGTCGTCTAAGAGAGGAGGGCACTCTCTGATGCGAGCCGTACTCCCGACGGGACCTCTGGTACCTGAACCGACCACCCACTCCTTACATTCGTCTCTCGCAGCCCAACCTTATCGATCACCTGAAGAAACCGAGTCAGGGTCGCAAGAACCGACTCTCCCATCCTAATCTTCACATCACCCCGGTTAAACCACCTCCACAGTCACAGTCCAGCATCGAATCCCAAGACTCTGCAACCTACGAAGGAACTCACTCGACGACACCCTGTCCACCGAGTTACTCGCCCGCGAGTCAGCGCAGTCGTTACTCCCAACCGAATCTACCCACTCTCCTGATATCCTACGACAGAAGATCAGGCGGTGGTTCACCAGATCGTCGTATTAGAATGTCCCAGCCAACCCTAAACTCCAGCTTCAGTGGCATCAATTTCGCTGGAATGAACCGTGGCACCAGGCTCTCCTACATGAGCCTTCGAGCAGCATCAGGGGATAACAGCGTTAATGAGGAGAGATTATCAGCACCGAGTGTGCACGGTGGTAGCTCCAGAGGAAGCTTAACGATGGATCAAAGTTCCGCGAGGCTGTCGCAGCCGGATGTGCGACGGTTCACGTTGCGACACGAGGCCCCGGCGAAGAGGGAACGTCTTTCTCAGCCAACTCTGATGAGTGGCGATTATCAGCCTGGTCGTGGACAACAGAGACTATCTCAACCTTGTCTAAGTACAGGGAAAGAGCTCAATCTGCCCACGATGGTGTTCCATTCGCCCTCGCCGCCGCCAATCAAGCACAAAAGATTCTCTCCAGCCATACACGCCAGTCAGAGGGACAGACTATCACAGCTGGACTTTGGTGCTAAATATAGAAACTTCAAAGAGTCCGCCACGACGAAATTTAACCGTGACAGGTTCTCGATACCGGAGCTGGAGACGCAGAACGATCTCAAGCTGATAGCTGGCACGCCCAAGCAGAGGTTCAGCCTGGACAGCCAGCTGACGCGAAGCCAGGATGTAACACGGTCCAGATTGCTACCTATCGCTAGTTCACCCATCAGCGAACACCAGCAGACTAAGCTGGACGAGCCAACTGGGATCCCTGGATGTATGCTCAAGAGTCCAACAAAAGAAGGCCTTGGAAGCGTGCTCGTGGCAAGCGCCACTCCAATATTACCTGCGTATGAGAGACAATTACTATCCTCCGAGTTGCTTTCGATCAAGAAGAGCATTGGAACAGGCTCGACCGCGAGCAAACTTCCCCCAATCTCACCTATTCACACCAGAGAGAGGATGTCGGTGCCAGAGATAAGGAACTCGAGTCTACGCCGATTGCTCGATCCTCCGACCAGACAAAGACACAGCATCACGGGCAACCTGAGACAGAGCATCATCTCGCCGCTCAAGCCACTCGACTTTGGCAAGAAATCGCCGAAGCATCTGTTCGAGGAAGCTCTGGAGAGATTCAGGAGGGACGAGAAAGAGGAGAACCGCAAGAATGAGATGTCTAACTCTGAGACCATCGTCGACATTGTCGACGGGCCCAAACATATACAGAAACACTATTCGTACACTTACGAGAACACTGACGAGAGCTCCACGCTGCTCAGGAAGATAAGCGTGTCCGCGATACCGAAGAAAAAGTATTTAGAAAGCAATTTCGACGAGAACGAGCAGGTGATCACGACTGTGATCGAGACAGACGTGCCCATGATAATGGCCAGTCCAAAATATACTAAGAAATCGTCCTATTCGAGCGACACTCCTAAGTGGATCAGGAAGTACTTGGAGAACGAAAGTCCAAAGGTGGGGAGGAAAACAACTATTAACAAGAAGGAGAGCAGGAGGAACAGTCGAAGGAAAAGCTCGTTGGAGTCGATGGAAGGTGATAAGGTTTCAGATAAGGTTCGCTCCAAGTCGGTTGGTAGCAGCGATAGAAACCCTATGGTGAAGAACACCGTTCTGCAGTCTGAGTCGAAGAACATGAAGAACACCTACGTGAGGATCGTATCCTCTAGCAACGCCGTGCGCGAAAACAAGTACGAGGTGAAGGTGGAGAACAATTGGACCGATGGAAATGGATTGTACGACAACGAGTGCGAGGACACCGACTCCGACGATTCCACGTCCATTTAAATTAAAAGAATGATATACCTAGGGTCAACTAAACAAAGGGATGTGAAATAAAAATGCGAGGAAACAAAAATAAACGCTTACAACAGAGTTAAATTACATTTACGAATTGATGCAAGGGATTTAAAAAAAAAAAAAATAGAAAGAATTTTTAGATTCTGTACTTAAACCGCTCGAATTTAAACTGTAACCTGAAACAGACAAAATCAGTGGCTGATACTGAATGCTTTTATTTAGTTCAAACATTCGTTGAAAGAGAACATAGAAAAAAGGAGGAACAATACCGAATACGGACCACGCATTATGAGATAACTCGACCAGCCTAAACACACATCTTGAGAGCGAAATAAGTTAACGAGCTTCAACTAAAATATTTTCTCATAGACTTGTATATATCGTGAACTCGACACAGAGATTTCGAAAAACAGAGAGTACATATATATAACAGGTTGTTCCATTCTTCATGAACTCACGTATCTCTATTGTAACCTTGAAGATTACTTTCAGTAATAGCAGAGATCGTTTAGTTGCTCGTGATAAATGAACCTGTATATATTTATAACGAGGACCTCTGAATCTCGACGCATTATATTAATTTAAATCGAGCTAGGAAACGTTGACTTTTACCAAAGTAAAATTAAGGTATCGTGTAAATAATCGAATTATATTCGCTTGTACTAGCATCGCTAAATGTTTACTATGAGTATAGTTAGCAAATTTTGGAAGAGGACAGGAATATAAATTTCTAGTTTACTTCCATTATAATTTTTGAACATTTACTGCTGTGGATGAAAAGTCAGATATGTTTTAGCTATGTTATCAGCGTATAAAAAAGACATTAGCCAAATATTCCACTGACATGTAATTGCCATGATTTTACAGTAATATATGTTAAAAAATTATTTTCTTTCGATACTAGTCATCAATGAGATTCATGTGTAAATACAGACACCGTCTCAAACACCTACTAACGATTGTTGCATAGCATTAATATGGTTTCAATTCTTATCAGAGAATAATTATAAGCATCTGTCGAGACGATAATGCCATTCGAATAGTCTTCTAGAAAAAGAGAAACTTTGTACTCTCCTATGAAATTATACTACCAAAGACTCATTTGTCACATAAATATTATATTATATTATATAACGACATTATAATGCTATGATATTATAACATTGGGACATAATCAGTGTAATGTTATGATATCGTAAATTGAGTATGAATGTAATATTGAGGTTATGATTGTGAAACTTAGTTACCATTTATCGTTAGCTTAAAAAAAAAAGATAGTTCTTTATGTATATCATTTAATATAAAAGAAGTTATATATTAAAATGTAATCAACATGAAAAGTATATAAAGTGTATTTAATTTTTAACACGTTGTTTGTACACCGTTTATACCTTATAATTAATTTCTGATTAAAACATAAACAGATAGCACATAGCACTTAACCTGTTTTGCTATGAAAACAAGTGAAAAGATAAACAAAAATTGTAAATTTCAAAGTACTCACATACCATTCTTGATAAAATGCATCTATTGAAAAATTCTTGTATGTACATCGAATCGAGTTTTACAGTTCGCTTGAAAAAATCGTTTAAAAGAACTAAACCATATATATTCACTGAAGACGTAGCAAACCACTACACATTTTAAATTGACATGATCATAACACATGTAAATTTTGATTATTACCTCGAAACTACTCGATCGGTTTCCTAAAAATCATTTGTATATTTAAATCTAGCCTTATAAAATTTATGTTACTATTGCAATTTGAACACGATGGAAAGATAAGGCTAATTTGTAAAGTTGCGAGACAACTGTATGAAATATAGTACGCTATCAAGTAACAACTTTGTTACGAAGACGGTGTTCTTTCAGACACGGCATCGAACAGAAGCGATTGCAATTGTATTCGAACGGAATCTGACCAGCCATATCTACAGCACATTGGAAACATCGTGAAACCAGAGGACAACCTTGCTTTACAATACGTTGTTCGGCAGCTAATGCTCTCTGCAAATTATAAGTACATAGAACTTTTAATGATAAAGTCTACCATTATTGAATGAAAATATGCTCTTATATATATCGGAGCTCTTATATATATATATATATACCTTTTCTCTATCACTGAGACTAAGGAATCTTTGTTTGGAGTCTTCCTCTTGCTTTTTACGTTCAAATTCTTTTCTTTTCACTTTTTCCTTTTCCCGTTTCATTTTCTTCTGTTGCCTCTTCCTCTCTAATTCTTCTTGTTCTATTTCATCGGTAAGCGGCCCGGGTATTTGAGACTTTATAAGAAATAATATTGTTAGTCAAGGACACATATTAATAATATTGTCATTAAATAAAACATGACAAATAAAAACCTTAATGTAATTAAACTTATGAGGATTGCAACCCATAAACCTTCTAAAAGTGTTTCTAGTTTCCTTATCATTAGCTGCCACATATGGTGTTTGAAACTTCTTGTTTTTATGACTAGGGTCCGATCCAATTTCTAATAACTGCCTGAAATCAAGTACCCTTACAACAGTTGTTCAAAATAAAGGAAATGTTAGAGCAAACCGTCAATTTACCATACTAGTTTCAGATGACCACCAAGAGCCACCAAATGTAACATCGTATTACCATCTTCATTAGGATCATTTACCAGTTTCGTTACATCGTCCATACTTATAACCGAACTGTCTTCAACAGCTGCCTCTCCTTTGTTATCTCCCTCCAATTCCATGTTTTTTTCTACCTCCATTAATAAACTGTTAATAACAGACGACAACAATTCATTGTCACCCAATTTGCACGCGGACCATAATTTAATTTTAGCGCTACTTAGAAGTTCATTCATTGTACAATCTAAAAAAAACAAGTTTTATTTGAATATATACAAAATATCTACACGATAAAAGTAACGCAATAAATTACCATCTTTTTTCGATTTCTTCCTCTGTCGTCGAGTCTTCTTATTTTTCATGTATCTTGGCACAGTGTCTTGGAAAGCAAGTAAATGTTCGGTTAAATCTACTTCTAAATCTTGTTCAACAAAAGATACGTCCATTGGAATATCATTAGTGCCTAATTGACTATCTAGTTCAGACTCTGAAGATGACTGTGCTAATCTGGCAACGATATCTGAAAAGTAAACAGAAATATTGTGATTCGCCCGATTATTAAATACATAATACTTCGAAATTTGTACCCGGCAAAGGACGACACGGGCTCTTTCTTGGTTTCGCTCTGTCTATGTGAGATCGTGAGCTTTTATGTTGTCTTTCGGGAGAAGATTGTGGAGGTACTTTATTTTTATCGCTATCCTGAGGATTACGGGCATTATTGGCAGCATTAGACGCGCAGTTTCCATTTTCTATTTTTTCCAATGTTTCGCTAGGTATTTCAACTTTCGCAACCTTTTTCCTAAGCGGTTGACGCGGAGAAATAGGGAAAGAGTCCGTAAAAGCAGCCGCGGAACCTAAGGTATACAACCAAATACAAATGGGAGCATTAAAACAACCCAAATTTGGTTATAAATACATACCATAAATTTCCATGGTACTTAATATATCATACACCCTTTTAACTTCGCTAAATGTTGCCCTACGAGTCGGAAAAGGCAATGGTCTTAATCTCAAGTCATTTTTATCTAATGGAGGATTTTTCCCTCCGAACAATACAGTGCGATTGTATGGTCCAACCGCTCTATACAGGATTAAAGAGGAAATATTAATATGAGACGACCACGATTCAAGTATTTCCTGCACATGCTGAAAAATAAGAACATTTTAATATATGCTTACAAAGTAAATAATATTCAAGCCTGTGAACCAAATACCTGAAGTAGAGAAGCTTCGTTATAGCGGCGCAAACTCGATCCGGCACTTTTGGTATGGTTAGTCGTCGTACGCGAACTTTGTGCAAATCCCTGCTTCGCTCGTACGGTGTAAGAATGAAATGTTTTGTGCACAATGGGTTCTCCATCTGAAGAAATAATGTATTTATTTACGTAATAAGTGTATACATGTTTACATTATATAAAATGTTATAAATCAATGTACTTTGGAATACAGCTGCAGCAAAGTGTCCTCCTCCAATCATGATGACAGTCCATGTTGCTTTTTTCCCACTTCTCAATGCTTGAGCTATCATCTCATTGTCTACCTCAGGAATTTCCTAAAATGTAATTGGATCTCTCCTGATCTGGCAAGTATAGACACGCCATGTGATTCTAACAAAGTAGATTAAATCACAAAATAAGATCATAGACAAGTATGTCTGTGTTTATAAAAAATTGGCTATAAAACTATATCTCCTAAGCATCACAAATGAACAGACCTTCTTGCTATGAAGTAAACACCTATATATACTAAATATATTTCCATCATCGTTCTCAAAGAAGACTTTAGAATGACGACTGGCAATGGCTAATAAAGTTTCAAGTTTTTTTTCCTTTACAGTTTCATCGCAACATTCTGTATCTGAGCTATCAGAAATTGATTCTGCACCTCTTGTTTTTTTCTCTATTTTCTTGTTCTTATTAATGACACCTTTATTGTCGTAATTTCCACTAGGGGAACCACTTGTCTCTGAGGTATACGTCTCATCTTCATTTTCAGATTCTACATCACTCCCAGATAAACTTGAAACATCCCCTATAATATCAATAATATTATGTATTCTACTTTAAGAGGCATTATTGTATACAACAAAATTAATGTTTTGCTAAAATACCTTCATCAGCTAAAAGATTAAATTTATCCTCACTGATGGATTTTAATCCATTTAAACGCTGTTTCAAATTATATCTGTGCCAATCTAATTTATAGTGAAGTCTCTGTTGAGCTTTGTTTTCGAATACGGCATTGCAAAATGAACAACTTAAGGAGTCAGATACAACTAAATCATCCAGTTGACCCAATACTTTCTCAGTTTCTGAAACTAAAATAATACAACAATGTTTTAATTGTAGGATAAAGTGGATGGTTCTTTATGCCATACATCTGGATATTACGATTATTTTTAATCATTTATTAGGTTTCTGGAATTCATAACAAAAAAAAATTTTAATGTTAAACATATGGATCACTTTGAAATAATTGAAAGTGGCTGGATATCAATTGTACCGAGTCGATGACGTAATTACATGACAAACAAATAAAAGAGTCGAAAGTTCTTCCAAAAGAATGCCACGTTACGAAAAGCACAAACGTGCAACGTATAAATACTCTAATCATAATCTTGTGTACAAACATGAACGATGTAAGACAGTGTTCAGGTGAAATGGAAAATTGCAAACATAATTACCTGACGGTGCTCGCGATTGCATACATTGTGCAACTTTTATTCCTCTTGTAATTCTATTAAAGTCTTCTTGGTTGTATATTTTAAACATTTGATGATCCATCGTTTGTGTTGTACTCGTAATTGTGATCCAATAGAGATGTTTCTGGCAGTACGTTGGAAAAAGAAAATTCGGTTATTGTCTAAGAAAAAATTGTAATCTGTGAAAGGTGAATTCGATCGAGTGTAAAATTGACAAGGACACGACTATTTGCCGATGCTGCTGAAGTCGAACAGTGAAATAGTAGTAGAACCTAAGTGCAACGGTGTGTGGACATACACATATGCATAAATAACTAGGAAGTAAAAATGTGTCGTACGTCACTGAAACGTAGGCTTCTGATTGGTAGAATACGTCGTCATCGATGTCATTCTACCAATAGGAAGTATTATACATTTCGTACACTTGTGACATCACGCACGCTAACGTATTCGTATACGTATACATCACGATGATTACACAGCACACAGAATTTTAGGGCTCCAAACCAAGTTATTGAAAATTTTATCTAACAATTTGTAAAACAAAAATATATAAAAGAATGGATTACATATATGGAATGAACGATTTAAAAAGTTATTCATCCTGTATAAGTATAGTTTTTAATTTATTAACACCATAGTTACAACAGTAGATATTTACATTCAAATGTAAATTATATTTAGAGAATAAATAATAACTTTGCAAGAATGCTCTACTTTGCTCTTATTAACATCAACCTTCAAAGAATTAAGGTTATTGTTGTATTTCTGTACACATACAAAACATCGAGAGGTACAACATATAATACTTTGTTAAGCTGTGGAGAGCTTGTTTTAAATTATCAATAAATAAGGATTTTACAAACACATTATCAGTCTTAAACGTCGAGAGATTTAGACAGTACAAAAAATGTTTATCAGTGATAATATAGTAATTTTGTACTTTGCAATGTTTTAAGTATAGTAAGTATTACACATTATAGCTTAGCATACTACGCTTTTAGCAAATTCTACTTGCACTTAATACTTTTTTCATACATAAAATAGTGAAATAAGATATATATGATAAAGAAAATATTATTTTGTTATTATACATAAAGAAAGCTATTTTTACCATGTGAACCACTTTTTGCTATGAAAAATATTATTGAACTTTATATAAAATGAATTATACAAAATTAATATCAGAACTTAATTGTTAAATAAATATCATAACTGGGAAAGAACTTACAATAATATTGTTAATTAATATAAATAACAAATAAATATAGCGAATGCAGAGTATTGTGCAATCAAACAATTTTGTGACTTATGCACAGACTCCTACATTCTCTTTTAATACATTAAAGACACATATAGATGAAAATTAATATTCCATTTAATGCTCCAATCAAATAATTCATTTGTATTCCTGATGTCCTTGAAAGCCTGAAAAAAGTGTAAGGGAAGATAAAAAAGCATTGAACAGATACATCCAAGGGACAGTTCTAAAATCAGTATTTGTCAATCATTATTTTATATCAAAACTTACCATTCTTTAGAAGGAGCAAAAGGGGAAGGTGGATTAATTCCAGGAATGCTACTATCTTTGTAAATTATGAACCAGCTATAACTTGTTATTGTGAGACCACTTAATGTTGCTTTTATCAACCATCCATATGAATTACATAACAATGTTGTTACATTTGCAACATTGTATTGACTAACGTTAACAAACTTTTCACTCACAGCAGCTAAGTATTTCACATTAGACTGTGACATATCAGATATGCGTGACAGTTCAAATTTATTTGTAATATTTGAAAATGCAGGTATCGATGATATTATATGTTTAGGATTATTTTTTAGCTGCAAACTATTCCCTGAGGAGACGATATTAAAATATCAAAACTAATAATGTATATAAAGTACTTTTAAATATGCAATTCCTCCACAAACTGATTTGTGGATTGATTTTTTATTAGCAAAATATAAGAATTTATAAACAGATTATAATCTGGGAATAATCTATTTGAGATTCAGATAACTTGTGATATTTTATTGAAGATATTAATGAATATTAGAAGCTAATAAACTGGAAAAGGGTTTTGTACACATACATGGCAATAATCTCTTGGAAATTCAATTGTGGACAATACAACATTGTTCAGGTTATTAATACATACAGATTGGACACAAAAGTTTGAAGTCAATACAAAGATATCGTAAAAAAGGTATAACAAATACTGCATTTCTTATATAAATAAGATAAATATCAAACAAGACATAGACATTTAACATACATTGACAGACAGTAATTCCACAAATCGTTAACAAAATAAATAATACTATTACACATCATCAGAACGTCACTCACCATAATTCATATACAATTTCCCCAAAACGATTGATAATGACATTACAAAGAACAAATGTATGAAAAACCACTCGTTTATTTGCAATTTATCCCATAACCTCACTGGTACCGCGTAATTTTTGTTTTTCACTGAGTTTTTAGTTCCATTCGAGTGTAAATCCATCTTTTCAATCATCCTGCTCATCTCCAATTATGGGAAAGTCATGCACGTTAAAACTGCATCGAAGATCAGGAATGACAAACGATACGAACATACGAACTGCCAAAAATAACAGTGAATAATAACATGTATATGTGACATAAAATAAACATCACGCTGGCCCAGCGCATGCGCAGTCTTCGACTGGCATCTCAGGGCTGTCTCAACCATTTCTTTGTTCTGTCAACACAAATTTTCCTTATGAAAACATCACAGAATTATCACAGGCCATTTAAAAATCATATAAACTGAGAAATGTGTAAAAAAAAAAACAGGAGAAAAAGAAAAAAAAACTACACGATATGTATCAATTTTGTACTATGTATAAATATTGAAATGGTTTACAAATACGTATAACAAATACGTTCTATATATTTTTGGATAATAAATGGTATCAGCGTCATGAATACATGTATGAAGTGACATATTTAACTCGCGACTTTGGGGAGACAGATAACCATGCGTATCGTTGGAACGTTACTGTGAATGTAACGACTTGATGGTGGGGCAAAAGATAAGTTGCAATTTTCAGTTAGCCGCATAGCATAGTCGCATTCGGTCGCATTCGTCATTCGCTTGGCAGTGAAGACGGTTTATAGGAAGGAGCTGGCCTCCCAAACACGCGACAAGTTGTGTACACGCTTCTACTTGCATGGAACCGTAAATTGTACGAGTGCATGTATTATTTGGGGTAAAAATGGCAGCGCAAGAGGAAGTCGGCATCGGAGATTTGGTTCTTCTGGACGAGATTACAGTGAAAAGTGTCGTAAACAATTTAAGATGCAGGTAAGATCATACGATGATAACCAACGACCAGAAAGATAGTAATAGAAAAAATTGGCGGGAATTCGGAAAGGAGAAGCGTTCCTGTTTTTGAAAAAAGCGTGACAGGTATCGTACGTGAAACGTTGATTTGTTGATACTTCATAGATCATCCACCAAGAGGGCGTGGCTAAGCGTATATTAGCAGGTGGTTGCAAATGATCGATGTATTTCGGTTTGATCTTGACCTAGAAAAATCTATCGAGTCAAATACCTGCAAATACCTTGACGTTAAAATCACTCCGAGTCAATGATACGCTACCTTTAATCATGATTTCATTGGATTTGCACAACGTAGTAACTATGAGCTTCGATTTCTACATATGTTTCTGTGTTTATATCAAATCTGTAATATATAATAGAATTAAATTCCATATATTTATACTATAGAATACGTTAACAATCACGTTCAGGTACAACGTTTGGTTTTATAATAGTTAATGTTTAAGTCTTATCTTGTTTCGTATTCTATGAGTCATCAACTTCGGTTCGATATGTACTTCGACTTTAGATTACGTTCGATTATTATAGCAAATATAGAATTTTAATCTATTCGGCCTTGTGCATACAATATTTGTTAAATGAAGATTATTTTATGAGAAAGAATGAACGTTTATTCTGTTTAATACTAATAAACAAATACAGCTCTATCTTATGATTCAGAGAAATAAATAATTGTGTTCGCGGGATTGAGAACGTAACTGGGTGAATTGACCTAGTGCACATCGCGGATCCTGGTTGATTTAAATGGAATAATTCATAAATAAAAGATGTATATATAATTTTTAACGTTACGTGACATAGTTTATAATATGACGAAAACAATAAGTTCGAAACTTAGAATTAGATAACGCTTTTTACCGTTTGTTCTTGATAATTAGATAAAGTTTATCTTTCGCAAATAGAAACTAGCGAACGTAGTATTTATTTGCAACACAACAAAAGTATTAACTTATTTATTTATTTTTACGTGTTATATATGTTTAGATTCAGTCTTATAATTTAGATTGTTTACACTGTTTATTTATAATTTAATTTAAATTTTTTAGATTCAATGGCGGGAAAATTTACACATACATTGGAGAAGTGTGTGTAAGTATAAATCCTTACAGAAGTATAAACATATACAATGCTGATCATATTAATAAATATAAAGGTAAATAATTGTGTTTAAAGGTACAGTAAAGTAATTATCAGATCATACCTAATTAAAGTATTTGAAAAATTTATATTTCAGACAGAGAATTATTTGAAAACCCTCCACATATTTTTGCCATTGCTGATGCGGTACATAGAGAGATGAAGCAGCAAGGTCGCGATACCTGTATAGTAATAAGTGGAGAATCAGGGTCTGGCAAAACAGAAGCAAGTAAAATTATTATGAAATACATAGCTGCAGTCACAAATCTAAGTGGTCAGCAAGAAATAGAAAGGTATACATATGAATCATTTAAGAATAAAATAGAATTATGATTTATCCCAGCTAAACTGTTGTAGGTCACTGTATATTACTTTAAACAAGTAAAATTACAATGAAACAATTTTGCTTGTCTTTAGGATTTTATATTTGTAGCTCTTAAAATTATTTTTTCTTGTATGTCAGAGTAAAAAATATTCTTATTCAATCTAATGCAATATTGGAAGCCTTTGGAAATGCAAAGACAAATAGAAATGACAATTCATCGCGATTTGGAAAGTACATGGATATAGATTTCAATTTTAAAGGCGATCCAATCGGTGGTCATGTTACTAATTACTTGCTGGAAAAATCGAGAGTTGTGTATCAACAAAATGGCGAACGTAATTTTCATTGTTTTTATCAGGTATTGCTAATAATTTAATTTCTTAACGTTGTTCTACAATATTGCATAAAATATATGAAACATTCTGTTTAAAATTCATAGTTGTTGCATGGCTGCAGTGAAGCAGAATTAAATAAATTACGATTAGTACGAGACCCTGCTGCATATTTTTATATCGGTGCTGCAAATTGTAATAAAGCAAGCCCAACTGATAAAAGTGATTACAAGGCTGTTACATCTGCCATGTCCATTCTCGGATTTACGCAAAATGAAATGCAAACGCTATGGAATGTCATTGCTGGCATACTACATTTGGTTTGTTATTAAACTTATAAAAAAAACAAAGCATTTATTAATTCACTATTTATAAAAATGTTGTGTTTTCCATAGGGTAATATTACTTTTAAACTCGATGAGGACAAACTCTTAATTCAGAACAAAGCTGCCTTAAATGATACAGCAAATTTGTTTTCCATTAGTCCACAGGAATTAAGTACTGCTCTCATTCAAAGAGTAATAGCAGCAGGTGGAGAAGTTATGCAAAAATATCATACTTTCACAGAGGCAGAGTATGGAAGAGATGCCCTAGCAAAAGTAACATTCCTGTGTAGTCTTTATCTCTGCTACTTAATCAACATGTAAACATAATAATTTTTCAGGCCATATACGAAAGGTTATTCACTGAAATTGTATCGCGCGTTAATGCTGCAATTAACGTAAACGATTCAGAAACTTACAAAAGATACAGAACAGTTATTGGAGTACTTGATATATACGGATTCGAAATTTTTGATATGAATAGCTTTGAGCAGTTCTGTATCAATTATTGCAACGAAAAATTACAGCAACTATTTATTGGTAAGGAAGTTGGATACAAAACTATATTACAAAATGTTACACTTACATTTCATATTTTAGAATTGGTGTTAAAACAAGAACAAGAGGAATATAAAAGAGAAGGAATAGCATGGCAAAATATCGATTATTTTAACAATCAAATAATTTGCGATCTAGTGGAACAGCAACATAAAGGAATTATAGCAATTATGGACGAAGCTTGTCTCAATGTTGGCAAAGTTACAGATGAGGTCAGTCTTCAAAATTGATTGCTAAAAAAAAAGTTACTGTTATTTTCAGTAAAATTTTTTCAGATGCTCTTAGAAGCTATGGATAAAAAATTGCTTGACCATAAGCATTATTCTTCCCGACAATTGAAACCAATGGATAAGGAACTTCAACATAAAATTCAATTTAAAATTAAACATTATGCTGGGGATGTAATATATAATGTTAATGGCTTTCTAGATAAAAACAAAGATACATTATTCCAGGACTTTAAACGCTTACTTTATAAGAGCAGTAACCCTATCATTAGTAAAATGTGGCCTGAAGGTGCTCAAAATATTCTTAAGGTATATAATTAATGGAACGAATTATCGCGTATCGAATTGATTATATATATATTTACACTAATATATTTCAGACAACAAAAAGACCTTTAACAGCTGGAACACTGTTCCGCAATTCCATGATAGCTCTAGTTAAGAATTTAACAAGCAAGGAACCCTTTTACGTTAGATGCATAAAACCTAACGAAGTTAAATCACCTGTTGTATTTGATGAAGAAAGAGTGAATCATCAAGTTCGATACTTAGGTCTTCTCGAGAATATATTAGTCAGACGAGCTGGTTTCGCGTATCGTCAACGATATGACACATTCTTAAAACGGTATTGTTTTTTATTTTATGACAAAAGTAGTATAATTGTATTCCTAATATAAAATTGTCTTCGTTAGATATAAAATGATATCTCAATATACGTGGCCAAACTTCAGAGGTGGTAGCGATAAAGAAGGTGTCCGTACTTTAATGGATGAAAAGGGCTTCAGTGATGACGTTAAATATGGCCACACAAAAATATTTATCCGTTCGCCTCAAACGCTCTTTGCATTAGAAAAGGTTTGTTGACTAATGTCCACTTACGATCATTTATATTAAATATATTATTCTCGATGCTTGTTTACTCACAGGCACGTAGTGATTTGATACCAGGTATCGTAATATTATTGCAAAAACAATGGAGAGGATATTTATGTCGTCAAAAGTATAAAAAGATGAAAGCTGCGCTTGTTATAATGAAACATTATCGAAGGTATAAAATACGTACTTATATTAGCGAGTTGGACAAGATTTTTCGTAATGCAAAAACGATGCGAGATTATGGCAAACGTTTAATTTGGCCCCGTGAAAATTTTGCCGTAAAGCACGTAATACGTGCTTTAAAGTTGATGTATGAAAGGTGGTGGGCGTGGATGGTCCTCAAACTTATCCCTAGAGAAGATTGGCCGCAACTACGATTGAAGGTACACGCTTGATGTTACTTATATTCAAGCATATTATATAATCAAGCAGAATGTTAAAATTATTATTTTTAATGCAATCTTAGATGGCTGCAGGAATAGTTTTGCGTTCAAAACGGCAACATTGGGGCCAAGACAGACGATGGGAAGGTAATTATCTTTCTAAACCGGATGAAAACCCTCACAGCGACGTTTTCAATTCGTCGATAAATAATCTTCGCAATACCGATCATTTCAAGACTGTTTTATTCAGTGCATTTATCAAGAAGACTAACAGGTACGTATATACAAAGGTATTACGTATTTATGTGCTCTGTTCATTTTTTTATTATAAATGAATTGTCATTGTAGATTTAATAAAGCGAAAGATCGCGTACTAGTAGTAACAGAACACGCGATATATAAGCTCGAAAGCTCGAAATTCAAAAGTATGAAAAAAGGTATGCCAATAGCTGAGATCACTGGTTTAAGTGTATCGCCTGGAAAGGACCAACTGATAACAATTCATTCGAATCGAGGAAATGATTTCATTATGTCGATAATTACTAACGATGATAAAGTTGGAGAACTTGTTGGTATTCTAAGCAATAGATATAGTCAGTGAGTATGCGTGAATATATTTCATTATTTTTTCTGAAATAAATATACTAGATTTTAACGAGATATATTTTCTAACAGATTACGTTCAGCTGATTTACAAGTTACGGTAGATGTAAAATTTAAATGTATGTTAGGGAATAAAAGCAAAGTATTACGCGTAGAAGTACACCCTGAAATTCACGAGCCAACGTTTAAAAAAGATGGAGATAATATAATATATGCCATTCCGTCATCAATTGGAATAATCGATGGCGGTGCCAATACAAGGATTCAAATTAGAACAGCTAGTTAAAATAATATTTAAATTACCTCGTTACTACATATTCTATCACGAATATAAAAGTTGAATTATATTTAACGCTTTTATCGAAGTATTTTTGAAGCTTTTATGCATTTTAAAAAATTTCTGAAGCATTTATAATGTACAAATAACGATATGTTAGAAAAATTATAGATTCTTATTTATAGACTAATAATAAGTGAAAAAACAAATTTAGCTTTTAATACAATTGAAATAATAGAATTGTGAATAATTGTGAAATAATAGGGTTGTGAATAATGTTAAACTTCTCTTAAACATTGTATACATGATTACGTAACTTATGATGCGCAGCATGAAAAATGTTCTTCTTAACTTGATCTTTAGCACAGGAATCACATCATCGCAATCGCGTTCCTTGGCACTGAAATGATTAAAAATAATCAGTATTGCCTTAAAAGAAAAATACCGTATTTGATACAGTAGCCTTAACGTATCGTGGCCTTCTACTTAAGTATTTTTACACTACCACTTTATACACCGTTTAAAATTATAATAAGACGTTTATAAAATATGGTTTATATGAAAGCTGTTATTTGGACTTTCTAGGAAAATTTTATATTTATAAATGTGAACTTGTATTAAACTCTTAAGATGATTAGGATTGCACTGTTACTTGAAAGTGTCTTATTATGGAGTTATAACCTTTACAAATTTTTAATTACGTTAATGTTATGATATTTTAACATAATTATAATAACTTTTTATAAAAGTGATAGTAATATTTTATACTCGAGAGAAGAATATAAAGCGCTATACACGTTATAAAATGGTGCCATTGTTGAAAAATAAACACGTCTTACGTATTTATATGCATTTACGTTTTAGAAATGAGAGGCTCCATACGAAACATTTTACTGTAAATTGTAAAATGAAAATCTGCCTGTTATATTTTTTATTGTTAAAGTGTAATAGAATACATTTTTTATACAAAACAATTGTATAATCTAATCGATGCGTTGATATAGATATATGTATCCTAATTCTTTTGGTGGATTTTCCGATAATGCAACCTGCAACAAATAGTTTGCATAATTATATCATGAAATTTGTGAATTATTTTGTACTTTTCGAACTTTTCGAGCATACTTTATCATCGTTGTATATCACCCATCGTTCATCTTTCAAAAGATGACACACGTAATGTCCCACCATCGTTGATGTTCCCATGTGCGATATAAAACCCACCAATTTATATTCTGAAACAACGAGTAATTTACAGTTTAGAATTTCAAGAGTGAAATATAACCAGTGTCCAAAATGACAAGAAACGTACGATTACTTCCGTCTCTAAATATTTCTTCGGAATGTCCTGCCTCATCCTCAATTTCTAAAGCGTCTAATTCAGCTTGATGACTAAAAATCCAATCTGCCGCACGTTCCAAATTGTTACCAGTTGCCTTGAGAGCTTTTACTGCTTGTTCGCTGGTGAAACCCATTCCCACTACCACTGCTACAGCATCTTCGTTTGGTGTAAATTTATCTTTTCCTACAATAAAGTATACTGAATTAGAACAGAAACACAACAGAGAAAAGGTATAAGATAACAAAAACTTGTCCAAGTAAAATCAACGTACCAGGTTTCGCGTCTATTCCAGGAGGTACAAACTGATCGGCGAAATCTGAATCCCCGATGTGATCCATTAACCAGTTACTGGCTACTTCTAAACCGCGATTATCCGTGAAATATAGAGCTCTTTTACAAGCTTCTGGTGGAAATCCTATGTCTGTTAACTGATTCAATATTGCGGTATCGTAAACAATTGGCGGAGGTTCGGAACCAGCTGTTTCTGGTAGTAATTCTTCCGTGGGTTGCAGACCGCTGCCTCGTAGAGAACTTAAATCCAACATGTCTGGCATTTCAACCGCTACATCTAACTTAACAGGCGTCCAATCTTCTTTCACCGTGAATTTTTTTAAATGAATTAATAAATAATCTGGGAAACTGGAAAGTCTAGTGGTTCTGTAACAAAATGTATTAGTTGATTATGTACAGTACATGTGCTATACAATTTATTACTCACTTTTGTGCAGTCGTTTTTTCATTCAGCGCTGAACTATAAAATTGTTCGACTATTTCAGATCGTATAAACGTTTGCAGGCAAGACGAGAGCTTTATGCGTGGTCTGACCAGTGCGTTCGAGTCTAATGTCTGGCCTTTTGCTTCAGTTTCCTTTTTTAAAGCCTCGTAAGCTGCAACTTCTTCCTATATTTAAATGGGTTCGTTCAATATGACGTATACGTAGATGCAAATTTTGTTTATAGAGATCTGTTACCTTATTTAATGCTGTTTCTAAAGGTATCGGAAGCGGTAATAGATACTCGGGACGATAGTTGTACTTTACTTTGTTTGAACGACCGCATTGGTACCTTTCCTCAACTTTGAATTTAAAACAATCAGTAGGATTCATTTGGTGACGACTGTGACGCTGTTCGATCAATTTCCTGATATTAGTATCATAATTTAAACTTAATATGAAAGAATACAATGAAATAAAGCGATCTGTTAAACGCGCGATCAAAGGTACAAGATTTCATTCAATTACATCAATGATATTTATTAGGTGAAGGAAAAATTCCTGCGCATCTTGTTGCCGATTTGATGAAAATCCGGGATGTCCACGGCCAATTAATGTCTTGAACATTCGCGGAGGGATACCTTGACGCGATTCATCTTCATTGTTCGTGTTTGGTGGGACTGAATATTTACCAGACAACAAACCAATTCCAAGTTTAGCCCTACAACAGCGTTACCTTTTATTAGTAATAATGTAAAATTTGTCTAAAGATGTAAAATAGTTCTTGTACTCTTAGCTTACATCTGAACATTAAAATCATTTGCTGGATCAGTGTAACTTTGATGAAATATCTGTGGTGAACCATCCACAAATCTGAAATTAATTTCCTATTACTATACACAATTAAAATAAACATGTTATTTAAAAAATATATTAAGCATATTATTATTATTATTGTTGTTGTTGTAATATCAGTGAAATTTCTTCCCTTTATAAGATTATGTTACAAACCTTTTAATAAAATCTGGAATCACAAATAACATTTGCATGGTACTATTTAAATAACAAGAGTTTCCCAAATTAGCAAGTCCTGTATATCCAGGTCCATACATTGGTGTTAATTTACTTGCAGCCTCCTGAAGTGCAACCCATTCACCGAATCTGTGATTGAGATCCAATTCAAGCTCCACCATGGATTTATCAGTTTTTTCCATTTGAGTAATATTTATACCCCAATGAGATAAATGTAATATTAAATTTGGATCTTCGACCATATCATCTTCATCGTATGAAAACACATCTCCCTTTCCTTCTTTAGTTATAGTTCCCAATTTTACAGCCAATGGATAACCAGTGTTTCGATAATGTTTAACTGCATGATCATTTCCTCCTGTTCCATCGTAAAATTTACGTCCGCAAAGAATACTGCCATCAGTTAGATTAAGCCATAGATTTTGAGTGAGATCGCATTCCTCGCATTTCCATCCACTTGGGGGTATTTTCTTTCCATTGTCCAACTGTTTAAGATTTGCTGCATGTCTGTAGATTCAATAATTATAAACAACAATGACAGAAATGTATATATAAGAATGCATTTGCCTATGCTCTTACTTTGAAACTGCTTTTATCTCTCCATCCCAAGTTCCAGATAGTGCTTCCACTTCTGCTACTTTTGTAGCAGACTCTGCCTCCAATATAAATTTAATTGCCTGATCCACCTGAAACAAATTTTACATTACTTGTATATTACTTTCATACCTCGTTGTATTCTTATGCATCACATACTTTTTGTGGTAAATTATCTGTTGGATAAGGTATTCTTATAAAATGTGGTAGGATAACAATTTGATAAGTTTCATGGTATGTATATTTTTGTTGATCCGGTATAAATCCATCAGATGTTCCTATAGCTAATCTTGTAATTTTCTTGTCTGGCCCATCTCCTAGATGCTCAGATGGGATCTATAAAAAGTAAGACAATGCTTAATCATCAATGTTATTTTCAACATCCTAAATGAAAAAATGTTTATGGGATAATCTTTTTGAGTGTTTTCTCTAATACTTAACAAACAACCCACCTCTTTTCTTCTTCGTTTGATGTGTAGAAACACGGGATTCTCGGTTAATTGATAATAACGTTCTACATGATCTTGCCCTAATCCCAAAAACGTGGTTAAATTGACGTAAAGACCAGTAGAGGTATCCTTCAAAAAAACAATGAATAGAATCATTTTGTTGTCGCATTATAATATTCAATTACATTGTCGTCATAAATTCTTACTGGAGTGTCGAAAGAATAAACACATTCATCCTTGTATATTCTGTCGTGTTTCCCTGGTACGTTGACTTTAACTAAATGTCTTATCAATTCTTCCATTGTAAACAAAACGCAGTTACCGTAAAACCACGAGGAAACAACTCTGATTGCAAAAGGTTTCCTTCTTTGGCGTTGAAAATAACAAATTTAGCGATCGCCGGTTTGTCGTATCGATGATATGCGTGATTTGAGAAACGAGACGAGAGAACCGGAACGTGTTTGACTCTTCTTGTTTCTCTTTAAAAACCAGTGGTGCTCAACCATGCAAAACACGTCATATTCGTATCTCTACGGTCTACTCAACTAAATTCAACTTGAAAAAGGAATTCAATATCATTGGGAGCACCCAGAAAGGCTCATCTGTTTATCAAACAGATAAATATTCATTTATACGCAATACCACACTGAGTGCAATCGTGTTGATATCTCATTCGTAACACTACTCTGAAAGAAAAGACGAAAATACTAATTAAAGCAAGATTGTAGTGTTATAAAACAAAGAATCGTATTAATTATATATTTATGAAAAATAAAGAATAATTAATTAAAAGATATCAGTGGCGCCATCGGTGGGAAAACGCCCAAGCTTGTAGTGAAAATAGTTCCAACCTTTACAGTAAGATAGCGCCACTGATATCTTTTAATTAATTATTCTTTATTTTTCATAAATGTATAATTAATACGATTCTTTATTTTATAACACTATAATCTTGTTTTGATCAGAACGCATGACTTTTGTTGCTATGATTGGCTCACGTCTTTATCATTTTCATTGGTTGTCGACTAGTACTTTTTACGTGTTCATTGGACAGAATCGCATGTAACACAATCTGTCAGACAGTTCCACTTTTCCGCATCTGCGCTTGGTCCAATTCGAATGAAACGATTCGTTTGAATAGACCGTACATTGTAGATACATGTGTGTCAATGTGTATGCATACTGTTGCATACGTGATGATTCACACTATTATTAACCTAAATGAAGTTTATATTTTGTTTAAACATATTATTAAGAAATGATTACATCAGTCTTTCTATCAACTAAGCGGTTCTATCTGAATCATGTATATGGCTTATTATTTATGTTTGTTGTAGTTAACATTTAACTTTATAGCAATGGAAAAAGAAAGGTATGTATTTAATATTCTAACAATTTATATACTTACCTTAATAATTGTAATGTATTTAAATACATCAATTTAAAGCGTGATGGATTTTGTAATTTATTTTTATCCGTGCCAGATTTACAATGCTCCTTTTGGAGCCAGGGGAAATATTTTTTGAAGATTATAGTGTTCAAATGAAAGTACTGGATAACTCTAGTTCAGTAGAGGATAATTGGATAGATGGAAGATTGAAATTATGTTCAAAGTCTTTAGTATTTGTAAGTAAAGATATTAATCAGCCTTTAGTTAAAATACAACTAAAAGAAGCTACAGAGATTGATCGATGTGAATCTGATAGTAATATAGCACGGTTGGTATTTATATTTTCTAATTAATAAAAATATATAACATGTATGGAAGTACATTTTCTTTATATTATTGAACTTGATTTTATTTTTAAGACACACCAATGTATTGTCAGTAAAATGCAAGCAATATGTGCAGATGTTGGAGAAAAATATACTTGCACCATACAAATTTATACATGAACATGCAACTTTCTACTTTCATTTCAATTATGCAAAAGTAGAAGACTGTCTTCCACAAATTTTGCAGTTACTTAGAGCAGCCACTCTACCAACTGCTGAACAGAATGCCATGGTATTTCTAATAATCATTATTTCAGTTATTTTATATCTCATATTAAGAAATAAATACATTAAGGTTTCATTATTGCACAGATTATGACCATTGTGCATTCAAGGCAATCTAGAGTCTCGTTTGATACATCATGGTTGGAGGATCTATATGAGCAGGTTGTGTTAGAAACTCAAGCAAATAAAGTACTACCTCTTGTTATAAATCCAGGCAGGATACTATTAACAAATTCTAGAATTTATTTTCAGCCGTACAACAATTTGGATCAGGTATGTAATTTTTGAATAGTTGTGAATAATGATACTTTTATAGATTTTTAAAGCAACAATTTCATATCTTTAGCATCCAGTTCTAAAAATACAACTAAAGGATATTATCAATATTATAAAGAGAAGATTTATTTTAAAACAAGTTGTAAGTACAATTTCTATGATCTGTTGTAAATAAATATTATGTATATTTATTATATCTTGTCTACTACAGGGACTGGAGATTAAATGGTTAAAACAACTAGAAAATAAAGTCGAACATTTATTTATATCGTTAAGGAATCAAAATGATAGAGATGAATTATATACAAATTTATTAAGACAACCTGCAGTTTCCCTAGAAAGAGTTCCTCGTGATCAAATGACTATGAGATGGCAGAACGGTTCTTTATCAAATTACGATTATCTCTTATACATTAACAGGTAATTTTTATACAAAAAAATATTGAGATAACAAATTACTTTACAGATTTTTAAGTAAGAGCTCTTTTCTAGTTTGGCGGATAGAACCTTCCATGATTTGACTCAGTATCCAGTAATGCCATGGGTAATACAAGATTACTCATCTTCTACATTGGACTTAGATGATCCCAGCGTGTATAGAGACCTTTCTAAACCTATTGGGGCACTGGAACCAAACCGATTACAAAGATTAAAGGTCTTTGGTTCATTCAGTTTATTTTAAATGTTGTTGTATATATAAAAATGAACTAACATGTATATTGTATTTTAGGAGCGGTATACGGAGATGCCGGAACCTAAATTTCTGTATGGTTCGCATTATAGTGCGCCAGGATTCGTATTATTTTATTTAGTTCGAAAGTATCCTCAGTACATGCTGTGTTTACAAAATGGAAGATTCGATCACCCGGATAGAATGTTCAATAGGTATGTGTGCTTAATAAAAAAAACTATATTACAATAGTGCCTTGAAAGTAAGAATTTAGGCTTTTACATATTAGAGGAGTTTATATAGCATGAAATTTAAACAATAGCCGTAGTAAATATATGCGAACGGAGTCTTGTATCGCACAGACAAAGCAAACTTTTATGGTAATTGCTTCTTATACTGTAAAAGTACATAATGACTCTGTCGACTCTGCAGAATCGATTTTTTGTTTCACTCTTACCAACAAAAACACCTAACAGTGTAGCTGACGTATGGAAAAATGTTTTGGTGAACATGTCTGACTTTAAAGAACTCGTCCCGGAATTTTATGACACAAACAATGGTGGTGATTTTTTAGTGAATAGTTACGGTATCGATTTTGGTTATCGACACGACGGTACGAAAATAGGAGATGTACAATTACCAGCATGGGCAAATGGTACAAAATATTTTGAAATCTGATGATAATAGACATTAGAAACTCTAATACCATCGGTTGCTCAATTTTAGGACATGCTCATTTTGTACAAACGTTAAGAAATGCTTTAGAGAATGATTACGTTTCCCAGAATCTTCATCATTGGATCGATTTAATATTTGGATATAAACAAAGAGGATCCGAGGCGGTGAAAGCTGACAACAGTAATTGAATGTTTAAGAGAAGTCTAGTTTAGAGAAGTCTATCCAGAAGAAGCACATATTTTGTAACATATTTTATTTCAGTATTCTTTCATTTGTGCTACGAGGGAGCAGTAGATCTAGATACTATTCGGGATGTTAATGATAGACATGGCTTGGAGGTACAAATTATGGAGTTTGGTCAAATACCAAAACAAATCTTTAACTTACCTCATCCTAAACGTTCTGTGTCGATACTCGATAGATTGCTTGCTGAAACGGTTTTAACGTCTTCTAAAAGTAGAACAGGTGTGTTACTTGTTGCTCCTACTTTCAACCCATATTTCGATAATATTAATATTAAATAAAATAATTCGTGACATGTTGTAGAAAGTGAAACTCCTTTAGAAAAGGTCTTTCAACTGCACGAATTGATGACATTTCAATCTCACAAAGAAAGTGTAAGCAGCATTACAATGATGAATAAAGAGAGAATCGACGAAGTAGTGTCAGTGGGACAGGATGGAATGCTCAAGTTATACAGTATAAAAAATAAAAAGCTAACGCGTAGCGTAGCTCTGTCATCGTTGCCATTGTCTTCTTGCATATCATACTACACGACTTCACATCGTAACATATTAGTAGTGGGCTCTTGGGACAATTCATTGTAAATATCTGTATACAATTATGTTTTATATATTGATACTTAAACTCTTTCATTACCTAACATTGTTTTACAGAATATTTTATGACCTTGAATTCGGTAGAGTCATAGATACATTGAAAGGACACGAGGACGCTGTTTCTTGTTTAGTATTAAGTTCATCCCGTCAAATTATCGTATCTGGTTCGTGGGATTGCACAGCTAAAGTTTGGCAATGTTATATTTCTGGATCGAAAATTAAACCAACGGAGTGCCTTATCGCACAATTAGATCACGACTCTAAAGTAACTTGCATCAATATATCAAGGTGAAGTTTTCACATATTTTAAACTTGCAAAAATTAAATCTGCAAATTTAAGTTATGGATTTATATATAGGGATGAGAAATTATTAGTGTCTGGCACGGAAGATGGAGAAATTTTTTTATGGAATATGGACACTTATAATTTGCAGTTTAGTGTAAAAGGTATGTTCTAAAGTATGTAATTATATTTTTGTTTGTTTTAGTATTTAAAATAATATTTTGTTTATATAGGACATACATCTAAAGTAAATGCAATGGTATTTGATGAAGATGGGAAAAGTATAATATCTTGTGCAGAGGATAAAGTGTTGAATATAATAGATGTCCATACAAGTACACAGATTTATTATACAACCATGGAACATGAACCTTTAACACTGACATGGTTGTACAATTTTTTATTGATAAGCGACAGTAATGGGAATATTAATGTATGGAATCATGAGGGTGCAATTTTTGTTTCACAAATACATTACCACGATGGTAAAATATATATTATATTATATTTTATTTACATTATAAATATAATAATTACTTAAATCGGATAATAATTTTCAGGACCAATTCATGCATTAGCAGCTTCCGCGGAAAATAATATAATTTTAACAGGTGGAAAGGATAAAAAAATTGTTGTATGGGGTTATAAAAAGATGTGATTCGTCTTTTAATACTTGTATTGCAACAGGAAAATTTGTTTGAATTTTTATAATGTTGGTTGGTACCGAAATATATGTTACAAAAGTTGATAATACATTAATTTGAATGTTGTATTGTTATGCATTCCTTACAGTTTATAACTGAGTATTTTAAATACAAATATGTTACTTTTAATTAATTAAATTAATGTGTTTTTTCTTTTTATAAATTTCCCTCCAGTGTTCAGACATGTTGCTTCCGCGAAAAGTAAATCTAAACGCAAACGTACACTTAGTGCAGTATACAATCATACTTAAATATAAGATGTGCGTTATTTATTTGATTCATGAGAGATTCAAATATTGACTAGTACTGTTTCACAATAAACTGGATAAAATATTTTACTGACTATTTTTATATTTTGAACGTACTTTCATTAGTTATTCTGTATCACCATTGAAAAGAGTGGTTTTTATTTATTTTTTGTACATTTCCTTTATGTGTAATTACTTTCATGTGTCTGAACATACATATTTTAACGTTCATACAAGTGAATCATACTAATTAATGAATCATCTATTATTATTACCAGTGTTTTCTCACACTTACACACACGCGTACACTGACTGCAAAAAAATTGTGTATTCTATACAGATCTACAGGAGGTGCGAGATTTTGATAGAATAAAATTTGTGACACGATTTTACAAGTTAGAACTTTGGTATTGCTAACTTTTTTAGCAGCCAAGGTACTTTTGTTTTGCCTATTTTATTTTACTTATTGGTATTTAGTTGAGTACTTCACCATTTGACTTCATTATTAAAGTGGATGATCCATGTGTTTCAATTGTTCATATGTTATAAAAAATATGATATTCCAAGGTCCCATTCGAAACCATGTAGGCACAAAACCCTTATACAATGCCAAAAATCCTTCAGTCTTAAAGGTCTAAAAAAAAAGAAAAAAAAAATTGTATCTTAAATTGTTTAAAATATATGAAGTTTCATTTTTACATGTAATATTACATACCTGAACGAAACAGTCTACACTGCCACTGTAAATATGAGGTGGTAATGTACCACCCGTACGTATTCTCCTTTGATTCATCAAACGAGTCTGCAACAGTAATGTTTCTTTGAAAAATGCTCAATACAGTTAAGTATTTATTAATTATACATACGCGAACAACGTCTATAGGAGTAGAAGCTATCGCACTTCCCATGCTAGCTATAAAACTAGACCTGGAATACATACATATATGAATGTAGATTTGTATGTAGAAACATGTATAAATGTAAAGGTATTTTAAATAATCCTGTATCAACTTTGAACCTTGGAAATACTGAAGTATATTATACAAGTGCAACCATAGAAATTTCAACTTTATCCTGGTTGTTATAAAGTAAAGCAACCCTTATCCAGGCACTGCTGATTAAAATGCATATTGTGATGTCTGAGATAGTACAACAAAATTTACTTACACACAGAATCATTTAAACTAATGTTCAGTATACAAAACGAAAAAAGAGAACTGTCACAGTGAAGTAGAATTCATAAAATAAAAATATCAATGAAAAGTAATTAAAAATCGTAAATCAATTAGATGCATGAGTGCTAACCAAACAATATTCGTGAAGTAATTCAAGATGTTTAGTCATCTGGATAACAGTTTCAATGATTTTTATGTCAAATAAATGAATGTCAACAAGACTTCCATTTTCATTCTCTGTGGTCATCTCAATATCCATGTACTGCATATGCCCATGTACACGACAGTGTGAGAGAACCTGGAAATAAAATTTTTCATTTTTAGAAAAATATTACTTCCGTTTCGAAAAAATTGATCACCAATACAGTACTATTCGAGAAAATACGATTTTTTAGCCCACATTGTTTCATGTAAAATATTTTGTTAATTATCTGTCATCTCAAAATATATATATAAAATAAAAAAAAAACGTATAAGATTAGTGATTTTGTAAAATACAATTCAAATTTAGGTTCCAAATTAGACATACTCACATAACATCACGTACTGTAAAAAAAGCATATGAAATGTGTTTACTTTAACAATAACATTGAACATTTGTTAGTACAATAATAAAATGAGAATGAACACGTTATATAATACAAACAGCCCGGATAAGGGTTAATTCGTATTAAAATTCTACAGATTATCTCTTTTAAACAAACAGATGATTAATCTTGAACAATTAATAAATTAATATCAATACTGCCAATTTTTATCAATGAAGATAATACACATAGTATAATAAAAATGTTTTTAAATTTTCATATCCACAATACAAAAGAGGTGGAGTTTTTTTTTTTTTGCGTACAAACATAATTTACTTACAGAAAATGGTTAGTAACACTGTCTTCCAAAACTGTCATAAGTTTATTTTTACTATAGTCATATATGGGTAATTCTACAGCAGCAATAATTGCTGCCCTTTGAGCAGTGGGTCCTACACCCTGTGTATAAAATTAATAATGTTAAATATTTTTCTCAGAAAAACAAATCATGCATTAAGAACCCTTGGTAAGATTTAAAATGCAAATGAAACATTCACATACCCTCCATAAACCACGAACACCTTCATGTCTATATACATCTTGAAAGCAACCAAATAATGATAGGTTTGAGTCAGCACCAGTTACTTGCATTCGTACTTTCACTACATCTGTGGGATTAGCTATTGCACTTGAGATTGCTCCAGCTAATGCAGCACATACAATATTTATAAGAACAAAGTCATCTGTTTCCCATCTATCCATAGCTGTTTGTTTCAATGAATAATAGGTTCCAAATTTTATAGTTCCATAAGTGGCTTGTCTTAAAATAGCTGAACTGATTCTGTATAATAAAAATATTAATAACAATAGTTTATATAGTTGTACACATCATGCTTACCCAGAATATAAACCTTTAAATCCCTCTTGTTTCGATATTTGAAGCAAAGCATCTGTCATACCAGAATATCTTAAGTTTGAATGCCTTTTGTCTAACTTTTGGCCTTGAACTTGCAGACGAGTCTTTGTTGTATCTAAAGGAAAGGTACCTAACAAGCAATAATTTTGTTGAAAATAACAGACAAAAGTCCTATACGATACTTAATCTAATAACACATACCCAATTCAGCAACAATTGAAGCTAAACCTCCATAAATAAAAGGTCTCCAATCCTTCCAGTGATTCTCTCCCATTACAATCTTTGGTGTCTTGCGATAAAAAGGACGACTAATTAAATATTATCATTTTATAAGTAGAATGCAAGTCATTTTCAACAAAACAGATGCAATTAAAACTTTAAATCATGTAAAACGATTATAAAACAGTAAAGTATATAAATGAATCTCGTTTAGGTTAAGTTAATTCGAAATACTTGGAAAAAAATATGATACGAGAGTATAGGATCGTCTTGGCAATACATAACGTTGTCATTGCAATTTAATTGTAACATCGATTGTTTCGTTAGCTGTAATTACAAATATTACCTGCAAACGTAGACGGATACAATTTAAATGATGTTACAAATTTTATGTATAAGTGGAGGGAATCAGGAACAATTGTGACCATGAATTCGATTAAAGTTTAATTAGAATTTGGTAACGTCGAGAGTCAATGTATAAATAGATTTTGGGATTGTTCCTCAAATACAGCCAAAAATGCTGTAAATCAAATGCTACTATAATGATAGGAATGTACGAAAAGGTGGTATCAGGAGATTGCTCCATCCGACCAATCAGAGACACTCTTGCTTCTGAACATTGCTTTTTTTTGTCAGATCTGCTGTTACATATTATTGTATCATAAATTATGTTATATTACGATAAGTTGAGAGATCTTTAAAAAGCAATATTACATCTGAGCAATATTTAAGCGAAAATCCAGTAGTTTTATGAGAGATAGAAGTCTATTTTAACCCTTTAGCGTGACCACTGTGAACATTACGTTTTTACGAATATTTCAAAGGGCTTCGATTATCGTGGCGGCAAAACATAAAGTGCCAATAAGAGATTATTCGGAACTGTCCTTCTGGCATACCTCTTTCTCGAGACGATTCTCGAATGCGTAGATAAATAATACCGCAATTATTCAAAGTATGTAATTGCTAATTGCATTGCCACCAAAGGTCAGATGACATCATCAATTGCATATCAAATATTATGAGTTAATGGTTGCAATGTTTCTCGTTTACGAATAAATAAAAGTGGATATTTTGGAATGTAAATAAAAATTTTGAACAATCAAATAGTAAAATATTTTATTGTTTAAAAGTAAAGTAAAGTTGATTATATCAACAAATTTTATTTATAAAAATGTGTACATTTGTAGAAAGTATATGTAGAAAGTTCAATGCAATTAAAACAAATATGGTTTGCGCGTATCTTTCGATTAAAATCTAAAAATATTTACTTTGTTTATTTATGTAACTATCTACTTGTTTTTAATAGACTGTGTATTTACTGTTTTGTTCTTTGTTTAGTTGTATGTAAAGAAAAACAATGTTATTAACTAATATAGATAAACTTTTTTGGAAGTAAACATTGTATGAAATCTATATTACAAAATTAATATTATCTGATTCAATCTGTCCTTATTGGAACTCTTACATGCACTCCTGTACTATTACGGTATATATATACTTGTGCCAGAATTGCAATGTCAATTATAACTTGAAGAGTACCACAAATTCCAAATTGAATAGGAGCTTCTTTTATAATGAAATAACCAGTTTTAAATGCATCACCTAATGTCCACATGGTAACCATATTTATGCTGAAATCAAGATAGAATTACTTAACAAACTTAAATATTTGCATAAATATTTTATATTATTACAGTTAAAGCTTCATACCTCATTCCATTAGTAGATTTATTTGAAATATTACAAAGGAATTGTGGTATTCCAAGCATAGCTTCTGTTAATACTGCAAGTAATCCCACAGTTTCAACATATATTGGTACATTTACTAAGAGATATGTTAGGATTCCTACCAGTGCCGCAAATAACAACATGAAGTCCAAATAAGATTGAAAATTTGTCCATTTCCAAAAAAAATTTGCATCAAAATCTATTCAAATTAAATTTTAAAGATCAATAGAGACATAAAAGATTAAAGATTATTAGAGACATATTGAATTATATTTGTTTGTTAAAACTTACCAGCAAACACGTGTTCTCTGGCCTTTATTATTTGATTTCTATTTTGTACGTTGATGCAAAGTTTGATCATAATAAACATAGTAATGATCATAAATATACTTTGCAATAAAAGAGGTAATTCATAATGCTTTCCAAACCTGTAAGAAACGTATATCTATCTTATTAATTAATGCAGTGGCATTGGTTGATTCATTTATAACAAAGATACATACCAAAAAAAAATACGTAAAGTATTTGCTATTAAAAGTGCAAGGCATACATAAAGAGAAAATCCTTCTGCATTATCTCTTTTCTTAATTTCTCTATACTGTGGTACATATGGAATAATTCCACCAAATATAATTGCTCCAGAGGCAACCCAATTTGCTACATCCTTAACGGTCAGCTGCTCGTAAACATTATTCATTTTAATAGAATTTTTGTTTACCTACGTAACATTTCACTATCTAAATACGTTTCACTACACGCGGTGATTTAGGTTATATCGCCAAAGTTCTCGGTCGTCATATCACCAGTAAATTTTAGATTAAACAAACCTGCGACAGTAATAAGAAAATTGATAAGTTTCATTGCAATTAGATGCCACAGATGAGGTAGTGAATAGAGCTAACATCCATTTGAAAAATTAGTTTCACGACTTGGGGGCTAGTAGCCCCCTTACCATTTTCCTGGTGCACTCAATGTTATCGATTCAGAGCGAAAGATACTTGTAGCGCTTTTATCGTTAGGAATGGAAACTAACGAGATCTATAGCGATCTTATAGTCCACTCGAGTTCACTATAGTCTGCTGTAATCACTGTATCCAAACTGATCCAAACGAGTTCGAATTAATTCGAAATTAAAAACTTGCAAAATGTCGAAGATAGTCTCAAAAGGAAGTAAGATGATGAAAAAGGCGTTGCCGAAAGTAGATCATTCTTCAAAATTATTTGTAGAAATTCCTGCGGGATTAGCAAATCCTAAACCACCACTTGGATCACAACTCGGACAGGTTAGGAGAACTAGTTGCAAAATATAGATTTTATTTTATACATGAATCGAAGGACATGCTCTTTATTTTTTAACAGATCATTGTTTTCTTTTAGAGAAATATAAATGTAGCAAATTTTTGTCAAGATTTTAATAAAAGAACTGCTCATATAAAGGAGGGTATACCCTTACCAACTCGTGTCGAAGTAAAAGGTGATGGCACTTATAATTTAGTAATCCACCACCCACCAGCAACGTATTTCTTGAAACAGGCAGCTGGAATAGAAAAAGGACAAATGTGCAAAGGTAGTAATCAATATTTTTAGTAATAGCTACTAAAAGTAGAATAATTTATATCATGATATATGTATTTCAGATGAAGTAGCAGGTAAAATAACGTTCAAGCATTTGTATGAAATTGCTTCCATCAAATCACAGGATCCACCTTTAGCATTAATGACCTTAGAACAGGTCTGCCGTATGCTTATTGGTATCGCTCGAACTTGTGGCATTCAAGTTGTCCGTTCTCTAGATCCAGTAGAACATGCAGAATTTATGAAACTGAGGCAAGAGAATGTCGAGAAAATCTTAGAAGAAAGGCGATTGACTAAAGAGACTAAAATGCTTAGGACAGTTTAAACTGATACATTTAATTATTTACTTTGTTAACATGAGTGTAATAAATAGAAGTATCATAGGATATATTTAAGTTAGCTATCAAACATGTTGTTAGTGTATTATTTACTTCCTTTCCCATAACATATCGGTGCATGTATCTTTCCCTTTTAGTCGTTTATAATTTTAAATCACGGCGTTCAAAGGGTGTTTCGAAATATGCAGCATAATGTAAAAAAAGATGATTCCTTTAAAAAAAAAAAAGGATATTACGAAACTGGAATAAAATCATTTCATATTAGCTTTTATTTTCGAGAAAATTGATGTTGAAGATACGTGGAGTACATTAAATGGGTTAAATTTCTCTTTATTTCGTGTTTATTTTGCTGTCGTCTGTATTTGGTTGTGCGTTGTGCTGTTGAATTCGCAGAAATTCATACATCTGAAATCGGGGAAATGATGTATCGATACATCGTTATCGAACGAATCGTTTGACAGTTATTAACTAGCTTCAGAGCGAGTTGCTGACGTTCTATTCAAAGATGGCGGTGATGAGTACGCCATGTTTTTTGTGATGTTCGCGCAGTAGACAAATTTTTTGAGAATTGTAATCTGTATGAGCAAAATGGCTGATGATGATCCGTGGTTATTGAAGGAAGACGGTTATTTAAACGTGGATACCGAGTGTAAAAGTATAATCTATCATGATAATCTGAATGTGTTACTAATCACTACTGGCAGTGCGCAAGTATACGTAGTTGATGTCAATTCAGGAGTAATATTGCAAAAGAGTTCTTTGTCGGGTAAGCATTTTGGTGTATGGTTGTTTTGCGAATAACAATTTATCGTCGATATCCTGTTGTTCTGTCATACATTTTCTCAATGGTTTTCTTTGTACTAGTTTCAATCGCGCCTCATGGTCAAGGTCGTATACGTGTATAAAACGTCAGGCGTGATTAAAGTTTTTCTAATTCGAGTGTCTTCGCAATAAAACGGTCAATTTTTCATAGTCATAAACGACCTTCCACGACCTATTTCTACACTTTGAGGGTCTGCCACACTCAAACAATTATTCGAGCACAGCTTTGTACTGCATTTATTATTGTTGCTCATTCATATATTTAGACTTGCTTCTGTGAAGAATTTCTTATTCTTGTTTATTGTTATTGTAAGATAAAAGTTTGTATGAGTATTTTATCGATTATTTTATAATTAAAATGACTTCATTTATTTAGTAATGTTTGAGGATATGCTCCAATAGTATTCTACAGTTATAGAGATAAATCTACATTTTTTGTTATGGTTCACAGGCAAATTAAATGGAAAACTTCAAGGTGCATATTTATCAAATGGTGTAGATAAGGTATTATATACAGATGGAAGAGGAATTGGTGTACGTAGTGATTACAATGGTGTACTTCTTTTGGACACTCTTTTACAAACAACCGTTTCACGAAGCGAGGATGTTATAAAGTTAGAGTTATTGTTTTCCGAAGCTACTTTGTTATATCAGTGTCTACGATGTGTAGAACTACCAGGTGTAGATCATGTGCAGGAGGTAATTCAAGAATTAGCAAGTAAAACTTTCACGGTAGAGGCAAGTCAGAAAAAAGGAGTCAAAGCCCAAAAAGTAAGCATAGAATAAAATGTAAGATTATCTGTTCACATTATAAGATGGTTAATTAATTTCTAATGTTTTCATTTGTGTGATTTGCAACAGTGGAATACAGTATGTCTCGAATTACCACATGGTTCTTTGAAGCTTGTATGCTCAGGATTAGTAATGGAATTGAAAAGATTAAACAGACATATCCCTGCATTGCCAATTGCTTCTGCTATCAATGAACGATTAAATGGCTTATTACCAGGCCTGGCATTGGAAGGGGGTCCTGTTGATAGAGCGTTAATGTTTAGCGAAGTAATGCGCAGAGATACATTTTCAAAATGGCCACATATGAATTACAAGTATAAAACTTAAACAATTATCGTTACTATATATTAACTACCATAAAATCTCAAATACAATGCACAGCTGTGATTAACCGCATACTTAATTTAGTCGAAATGTTTTTTTATAAAATGAAAATTCGTATGTAATACGTATCTATAACTTTTCAAGATTTTTTTTTACAAAAGAACAAATAAGAATTTATAATATTCAAATATTATTTATCGTCGTTATGTGTATTATACTCAAGATTTTATGGTATTAGCAACAACAGATATATTACATACATGTCTCTTTTTAGATGGGCTTTACCTGACCAAATGGCTCACGTTGGTTTCTACCACCACCCAAACGCAAAGACCCAAGGCGACGACAGAGTGATGTGCTTCACGTGCAATTGCTGTTTAGTTTGTTGGGAACCAAAGGATGAACCTTGGTCAGAGCACGAACGTCATTCCCCCGCATGCCCCTTCGTTAAAGGGGAGTATACACAAAATGTTCCTTTATCAGTTACCCTTGCTACTGCTCCTGCACGCGAGGCTGGCGATACGATAGACGTGATTAGCACTACAAACGCTAGTGGTCTCGTAGCTACAGCTTCCAGTAGCGGTTTTATAAGTGTGTGGAATGTTACAAATCAACTGAAGGTAAGCATTTATTGCTATGTATCAATTATATATTTTGTATATATGTATATATTTATTAAATGTATTACCGTCTTTACAGCGGGAAGTGTCATTTTACGTGGCCCCTGTAGAACAAGAAATAAACAACAAAGAATCGATACAGTTTGGTTCCACAAGAAATTTGACTTCGTATTTAAGGACGCTTAATTCGGAAACAGATTCTCTCTCTGATTACAAGCACGCCGCTTCTCATAAAGTGCAAATTACGGCACTGTCTGTAGTAGGCTCGCCCAATTGTCAAAGCAAAGAAGCAAAAACTCTTGACTCTACGCTTTTACCTGGAGAGACATCAGACTCTAAAATTAGGCCATGTGTAGTGTGTGCTGTTACTGTGACGGTTAGCAATCCGTCGCAATTAAGGACTTTAGAAAATGTATGGGCTGCTTCGACAGATCTGGCTCCTTCTTCGTCTCTCGTTCGTGCAATGAACAGTGTAAATAGTGCCGCCAGTGATACTTTAGATATAATGAAGGTGGCAGGTGATAGGTATACACCATCGAGATTGCACTATTTAGTACTTTATGATTTTTATCATAAAATTGCAACGACGCAACCAATCAAAGAAGATAATACCAAGGACTCGAAAACTAAAAAAACATTATCTGGAACGGGGACTAGTGCTAGCTCGAACGGAGAACGTCAAGGGAATTTCTTTCAAGATTTTTTGCTTGGTAAATTTTTATATGAAGTTCCGATAGTCCCGGTGATAGAGGATGTAGATTCGGATATAGTAGTTGGTCCACATTTCGATAATATCTTTCCAACGACTACTCTTACCGCGTCATCTTCCAATGGGATCTATTCGAAGTCGATAAGTTTCACGGTACCTCCGACGTCGAGTTCATTTGATGCGAATTTTAATCCGATCAATGGTCCAGAACAGTTTGCATCGACATCCGATTTGACAACAGCAAATAAAAAAAGTCTGGATATTATGAAAATAACAAAGACTGAACCAGTTGTTATAAAAACTTTACCCATCGAAGCTCCCGATTATGTTAAAATTACGTATATCGGGCCGTCTATAGATGGAAGACATTTATATGTTGCCATGTGTCCTACAATAGATAATACAGATTCTTTGAGTTCGAACAATAATCAGATGGACATCGACGAAGACAATGAGTTTTTCCCACAGAAAGGTTACATGTATTGGGACCACAACGATACGCATTCTGGTAGATTGATAAACGGCGAAATACACGATGGTGCGAATAACGCGAATGCTATATTGCTTGTGTATGCTTTGGACTTTTCGGGGCAGGTGGTTAAGGTGTGCTCCGAACCTGTAGCGAGGCAAGAGCTGCCTGCAGATCAAGCGCCCATCGAGCATGTATTTTTACCTCTTCAAGAAAAAGATAAATGTGCATCATCCGAAGAAAACTCTACTAAGAGTCCTAATACTAATTCGAATACTTCAGAACCTATTGGACAAGTAGCTTTAGTTTGCAGGGATGGTGTAATCAGAGTATTAAATCTGGATTCATTAAAAACTGTTACGGAAGCGAGAGTAGAAGGAAAGAAGTTTGTCTCTGTAGCTTACTGCAATAGTACGTTATTTGTACATTATCGGTATCTGTATTAATGGAACCTGTTTTCATTAGATAATATCTTTTAGGTTTAGAGAGACTTTGTGCATGTACAAGCGACGGCGCGCTTCACTTTTTTGTCACAACGGATGAGGAGGATTCCATGGAGGATAAGGAGGATGTTGAAGATGTTAATATGATGGGGACAGAAGAGAATGGTAGTAAAGCTACAGTACCTAGCACGTCGACCTCATTCACTTTTCAGTAAGACTCTGGAATCAGTAACTCGAAAAAATTTGCATCGAGTTGATGCAAGATGATTGCATTTTTTTTTTTTCAGAGATCAATTGATTGCGCACAAACCAAGCTTATCTCATTCAGATTTACGCATTCTATACGAACTAACACGATTCGATCGACATTCTCCCGCGTATGGTGCTACCGTTCCACCATGTTGGAACGAAATGATGCAAGGTCAGAAACAACGTCGTTATCCACAACATCTTCATCAATCGAAAGATCAACATCATACGCGAATCTGGCGTTTGCATAACGAATGGTATGCGCTAACGCCAACACTTTAAAAACTACATGCTCCATTTTATTTTCTCTATTTCTCTTAATTTTAAATTGTAGGACCACTTGGGACGAACATGTGTTCGAATTAACTCTTCCTCGAAGCGCGTCAGAAAATATCGGTCACGTAGATGTGAGATTCAGTTTGCACTCTGTATGTCAGGAATTGCCAATAATTCAAATTACCCTGCTAAAGCAAAATGTAAGAAGAATTGGTCATAACAAATCCCCCTTAAATCCAGTGGACGAAAGAATAGACTTTAACATAGGCAACGAACAGAAGGGAAAGAATCCCGTGACAACGGAAGAGTATCAGCGACAGCACAACACGGAAATATTATGTGGGCCGATCGAATTGCATCGTTACATGGATTTATCATGCCGTTCTGGTTGCGTTACATTGACCAGTCCCAAGCTGTTCCGATCCAAAGCCAGAACGCTTCTTGTTCACATTAAGGCTTTGATCGATCCAACGAAAGATGGCGTAAGAACAAATATTAAAATGTTATTGCTCGTGTAAATGTTACAATGCAGCGTGAATAAAAGAGTATTATACCTTGATTTTTAGGTAACTACAAAGTCGAAAACCAATTTGTCAGCCAACAAACCCCCTACTTCGAAAAAGCTAAGAATAGTGGAAGTGGTACGACCGCCTGTTCCTGGCAGTACTGCGGAACGATTTGTGGAAGGTCCAAACAGTAAGAAATTAGACTGTTATATCGGTAAATATTATTTATGTCGTTGCTATACGCGATGCGTAACTGGTGCAAATCATTTTTGTATTGTTTTTGAAGGCTGCGATTGGATTCATGAAATATCAATCACCGTTAGAACAGTATATCCTACTAATATACCGAACGAACGAGCGCAGCGTTGCGCTATGTTGGAATCGAAAACTTGTTTTGACAATTTATTGAGCGTGGCATGTTTGGAGACGTCTGATAAGTAAGGAACAATTTTCGAGAAATGATTAGACGTGTATATGTATTACGTAGAAGTGTGTTACAGAATATGTGATTGTCTCTGTTCCAGATCTCCCATTGCACAGTCACTCGCGTTAGATATTCTCATATGGATAGCCTCTATTAGATTAACGAGGTTACGTAGCAGTCAGAATAATATCAAAATAATATCGTTTCAGATGAAAACAATTCGTTCTGTTCAATCACGGTTACCTAATTTGTTAAAGACTTGCCTTTTGCATGCCGGACGAAGTATAGCGCACAAATGTATCAAATTAGTTATACTTTGCAGCAAGTATGTCAGCGATACAGTAACAGCCGGGTAAGTTAAAAAAAAACGTCGCAGAATCGATTTCTTAGTAATATTCTATAAATTGTTTTCAGGGATTTTTACCATTCGGAGCATCCACCGTTTAATTTTTTTGATGAAGCACTGGTTTCAGTTTTGGTGAAACTTTTACCATCGATTATAGAGGTTCAATGGGCTGGTTCATTGCGGTGGTTACAGTTGTTAATTACTAGAATCTTACCGCTGGATAGCGAACATAGCATTGCTCTGCAATGTGTCACTCTGATACAACAGATAGCTGCTGAAATATCGAATCGAGTAAATCCTTATCATTTATTGCTTGCAACGAGGTAAAATTCAGTTTTTTTAAATACATTTTATCGTAGTGGCGCTGGTGAATTGAAAAATATTTTTCTTTTTATAGGTTCGGGTTGTACAACAACCCGTTTGAGACGGAACTTTTCGATTTCGAATCGCCGATGCCCCCAAAATATAACCCAATACCTTCCACGTACGTGTCGGCTGTAACCAATGAACAAGCGGAACCTCCAACTGCTTCGTCAAGTTCCGTGTATTCTCAGGATGCTATTGATTTGAGGGACCTACTTACACTGCCTACACATCCAGCTACCGAATTGGTGGTGCCTAGCAAATTAAAGGCTTTATGTACTAATCATAGTATGAAAGGACTCCTCGAGGTAATGTATCGGTATCGTACAAGGAAGCGTGATATCCGATCATGGGTTTAATAAGAAACATTGTGGATGTCGCGCAGGTCGAACCGCTTCATTTTACCTGTCACGCTGCCTCTGACGGTACCAAGATGGAGAAAATTGATCCATGTACGAATTCAATTAATATCGGAGCTCCTCTTTACGATAGCACGGCTACGAACAGCAATGGTGTGCCTGATATCAAAACCATTCATCACACTTACGTAAGTTTCGTAACGAACAATCCAAAGTTTTCTTTTCTTTTTATATTAGTGCATCGAGGATTCTCTCATCACTTCTGTTTCTTCTTTGATTCCTTGTTTTGTTAAACTCTTAATCTGAACGATTTCACGAAGCATGAAATTGTGTGAAAACAGAAAAATCATTACCTATATGAAAAATGACACACAGTATAAATACAACAAGCAATCAAACAATTTCCATTTTTTTTCGATTAAAACAGTGAAAGCTGTTGCAATATATACATTTTTATATATGGTGTATATGTTTTTTCAAATAGAAGAAACATAATCCAGATAGAAATTGTACATTGTAGAACTTGGATGCTGGATCGCTAGGATCAGATGTTCAGGCTAAGTCAACACCTATATTAAGCGATTTGCTTAGTCTGTGTACAGGAAGAACGTTAAAGAAGCCAGTTCCACAACTGATATTCACACCTGATAATCAATCAGACTGTGATGAAACTAATGATATGTCTGTCAGCAATCAGACATGGCATGATACACAAAGCGATATGCCTAACTCACATATATTAAGTTCTACTGTAACGAAAGAAAAGTCGTCTGTACAAAATCTCAGTACTACCGTAAACAGAGTCGAAGACAGCAATTCTAAAAAGGTAGACTACATAGATGAGAAGTTGCACATTTTTTTTTTCTGTTTCTCAGTTCGACGATTTCCTGTCGTTACTATGAATTTTTATAGCTGATTAATATGCTGCTTACAACTGAGTTCATATAATTTCGTTAATATTATTGGATTACACATACACGTACACACTGATATACATATACATATACATCGCACAGCTAGATACACGAAATGAAAGTTGCATGATTGCCTTTGAAATTATTTTATATCATGCATTTATTATCGATGTCGATGTAACATCATTTTTTTTTAAATATCGTGCATCGTACCATAAATATTTTACCTACTAGATCTACTGTGATCAGGAGAAGTGATTGAATTATTCACAGAGTCAAGATTTTGCTATACTCAATAATTTCGAATTCGATGCACGAAAATTTACGGCACAAAAACTACTTATACCACCTATTTAAATAAATTTTGTTTCTGTTTAATGCTTTCAGTATTGCACATATGTAAATGTGATGTACATCATAGTCTCATAATTTGAAGTCACAGATTAGTAATTATCCGCATAAAAAAGATGTCTACATGTATCAAATGGCATGCAAGAAGGAAAAACTGAGTTCACTCCAATTTCTGGCCTTTCACTATCGAAACTTTCCGATATAATGTTCCACAGAATAAAATGATTTAATTTTTGTGCATTTTTTCGTGTCTGTTTGAATTAATATGATCCACTTCATAATAAAGTAGAAGTGAAGTAGATATTTGGTAGTGGTCGAAGCAGAAATCTTTAAAGGTTTAATAATCGTGACATGTACACATTACAGCGGGATGATATTACGTTTCCATGGGGAAGATTACTATGTTGGCCGCCTCAACAGGCATTGGTAGTCGATAGAATGCATTCTGGTGCACGACGTTTCGTGATCCTCGATTTTGGATCACCTGTATTGCTTACGGACTTGATGATTCCTTGCTGCAGTGATTTGGCATCGTTGTCCGTAGATATATGGACGAAAAGCGAAGAAGTCGATGGAACGCGTCTCATCGTCGCTAGTGATATAGAAAACAAGCCGCTGGTAGTGTGCGATCTTCAACCACCACCTGTGTGTAGATACCTGAAGGTATGAAATTCTACACACATTTTTGTTGTCATTCTACGATAAATGTACATGGTCCACGCAAATTACTCTATGACTTTTAGATTACAACGATAGGTCGGTATGGAATGTCTCCAACAATGTGCAAAATTCCATTAGGAATGTTCTATGGACACATGGTGGTTCTGCCTGGAGAAGATTACGCTGAATTAAATAATACTTCTCAAATTTTTGATATGTTTGATCCCAGTGTACAAACTACAATTGATACACAGTGCAATATTTTGTCAGCTCTCGCGGAAGATGTTCAGTGCAGGTATTTTTTTCAGTCTCAGTAATCTTGATTTCCTGTGTAGACATCTTCTCATTGTCGGTATGTAATTGGTTTAGATTCAGCTTAGCCACTGAAAGATTAAAAAGCTTATTGGATCCATTGTTGTGTTCAGAAACTACCAATGTTATGCATATGCAGCATTACCTCTGCTACAATAAAATATCCAGTGAGAATAAAGAGCAACCGTCAGCAAAAATATTGGCGACTTATCAAGTACGTTAAATTATATAAATAATGCATTAATGAATTAATGTAAGGAATAAGTATTAGTATGGGAAACGTGCACGTTAAATGTTACAGGAGTGTATAATGTTTCAACATCAATTGAACGTTGTACGCAGCGTGTGGAGACGTTTGGAGTCGTGGAAAGGTTCTCAGAACGTTCCGACGATGCAGCTGTCGAATGCACCTAGCGATAAATTACGAGTTCTCGGAGAAACTTTGCTCGATATTCTTTTATACACAGTGTACGAAATTGGTCCTGTAATGAGCGTATGTATTCCTTTTCTACTTCATTTTCAGTACTAACATTTTTACGACGATTCATAAAATACGTGTATCGTGTCTCTAGATTCCGATGTCGATATGTGACGTGTTCACACCAACAGTTTGTGAAAAGTTTTTCCACTCGATTTGCGTCGTAACGCCAGTTCCGCGTTTACAATTACACGCCGTTGCACTTTTAGCGCGTATGGCTGGTCATCAGCCGTGGTGGGGCAATTTCTTGTCTAACACGTTGATCAATCTCTACTCGTCGTCGTCCACACACATATTCCCTCAAGATAGGTATGCTCTTGAATTTTTAAGTGGTGCGCACCATTCATGAAACAGTTTTAACTGTAATTAATTTGTAGGGTATTTATTTTGTTAACATTCCTTGGACGGAAATCATTGATCGCCGGAGTTAATAGATCTTCTGTGATAGATGCGATGGTTCGCACGTTAGGCAAATTATTGACGCCATTATCGAATGCTCAAACTTCTAGTACGAATCGCCTGGATGTAACTCTTATTGGCTGGGTGTTACTTTTCTTGTCAGTGTGCTTGGACACTGTAGCTATTCCCCCTCCATGTTTAGAAGGGAATAACGAGAAAAGTAGAGAACAAAGTAGGTACTCGTGTTAAATAGAACAATAGATACGAATATTTAATACGAGTAAGAAAATGTAGTTTTCGAATTACTTCTCGAAGGTCTGTTGTCTCGCTGGGAGTTTATTCAAGGAGAGTCTGCGATGCAACGAAAGTATGGTAGTGCCAATCGGTCTCCAGCTTCCTGTAGTTATCGTAAAAAAATACAGAAACGTTTGATGCATCACAAACAACAGCTTCAAGAGTTGGAACAAGCAAAGAAAGCGTTCCATCCATCGTCACAGGTATAAACATATTCTTGTTTATATTTTTATCAAATCGAAGAAGATAGTAAAAACTGAAGAATATTAAATTATACTATAGGGTTGGGAGAGTCTTTCGTCGTACAGTGCTTTGTTGCATTGTAAAATGGAAGCGTCGCTAAAGTCGCAAGAGCGATTGTACAAGAAGACGTTCAAGCAACATTCTGCCAAGCATCTTAAAGATATTTTAAGTGTTCGAAAAAATGACGCACAACACGCTTCACGCAGCCCGCGTGCGCAACCACAAGCAACCACAAGGTGCATATCATGATTAAAATATCTGTAATTTTCTAGTAAGATTGTACAAAGTTTAGTATTTGGTAACGTCTTCTATGCCCTATAAGTTCCAGTAAACCAGAAATAATGGACTTGGATATCGAGTACATATCCAATTTGTCTCATCAACATGTTCTACCAGTGGCTCGTGGACTGATTGCACTTATTTTGTGTAATTCTGCTAACGTGGATATGTTCCTGTTGGCATGCAAGGTAAATACTTGGGGGATACACACGTGGTTACGTGTTACTCTCTCTTGACCCTCGTTCCTTTTATCGTAAAGTCTAACATAAATTTACACTCTGTGCCTTTTCTTCTACGTGTTCACGAAGTTTGTTATTCATGAAATTGTTTATCCGTGGCTTTTCGATATTTATGAATGCTTAGCGTACCACTTTACGATTAAAGAATTCTTAGCTTGTACACCGCTGGTACTGTTCATGCTTTTGAACTGTTAAATTGTGTGCCATATAGGTAGTCGCTAGGCTAGTGATATCTACACGTCCTGCAATTAGCTTGTGCGAGCTTATGAGCGAAGAACAGCTCTTAAAATTAGTCAGACTGGCGACAGGTACATCTGATGCTGCCTGGTCTTCGCACGCTGTTTCGAGTTTGTTGCAGGACTTATTAGAAGGTACAGTCAATTTTTTATTGTGTATTATTGTTATAAAACACTCGATTCTTGTATTTATATTTGTATATACATCCTTTTTTTCATTTGTTTTCATCGTTTCCTTTTACAGGCGGAAAATTATTCCCGAAAGCGTGCCCCACGCACGAAGGAAGTCCCGCGGAGGAAGGTTTCGAATCCCTTGTCACGGAGAAAACTCGAACAACAGAAGACGATACTATTGGCGCCGCTGGAACTAGCAGCGCCATAGTGACACTCGGTAACGACGAAGAATTTGCAACTGGTGAAGTTGAAGAAGACACTCAAGATACTATAGTGGTGACACCAGCAATTGCTTCGACGCCAAAGTCCAATGGGTTTTTACCTTCGCTTTTGGAGTCTGACGATAGCGAACTGGAAGAATTCTTGGATGATATTCTTGAGCGTGGTAGAAACATGTTGAAGAAAGGCAATCCAGTGTCCAAGACCAGTTCCAGGTACATATTCTATAGTGTGTAGAAAAATTATGAAGTAGCGTAATTTATTTACGTAAAATGCGTGGGCTAACCGTATACTTTTACAGCATTTCTTTGGCGATGGATTCAAGATTAGAATATGGTTTGGAAATGGGATTAGAGATAAGTTTGAGATTGTTGTCTACCTTTGGCATGTACAATTTACCTCAAAGTATAAATGCCACGATACACGTGAGTTGACCATGTGTTTCCTTTTATTTTTAAAACGTGTACTCTGCAGGAAGAGATTTAGATATAATTTTCTCGTGAAAGGTCCCCATGGAATCTAACCGATATTCTCAGCAATCGTCATCGAGAGTTGAATCTGGGTGGAACGATAGGACTCAAGACGTTTGGAACTTGACTGATACTACAGCTTCCAGTTTATTAATGTTAACCAGATGTTTTGACAAAATAGTTACAGATCTCTATTTACAGGTAAATATTAAATCTAACAAAAAAGAACAGTATTTATTCACTTTCCTATTAATTCGTGTCTAAATTATTTTTCTGCGATAGAGTGTGGGAACGAACCTAGAACTTGTCCTCCAGCTGTGGTTGACATTGAACTTTGACGCGTCTTCGGAACAATCTAATTCTTCTAATCAATTTGATCCTTCGTTGACACCTGTTATTCCATTGAGCTCCACAGCTATTTCCAGCCTTATCTCTGCGTTATCCTGGTAGATATGACATACCAAAGTTCTTCATTTAAAAGGTTTGAATCGCCAATAACAAAAGAATAATAATTTCTAGGCATCCAGGGGTATCCTTGAGGGCTTGGTGTCTCGCTCTTCAGTGTTTGACTCTCGCAAGTAATCAACCATTACAGACAGATTCTACAGAAGCTGCGAATAGTAGACAGCCACTAGACGGTCTTCTAGGTGGTATGGCTGGATGTATCGTAAAAGAACGCAACATGGGCCCCATGCTTCTGCGTTTACTTTCGGGGAGCGGATTAAATATTAATGCCATGGATAAACAATATATCATGGTACGTTTAAAAATGTCAAACAATTATCCCTACATCTGCAGCAGTTCACAACTCAGTACTTCAATGTATTCCATTTTTAGGCTGGACCCACTGTTTGCCAAGCACTTCAAGATTTTCTAGTGAGATTAGAAATGAGATGCGATGTAATTACGCCTGGTAGCTCTTTAGGGAACACATTGAAGGAGCTGTTACTCTGGGTAGTGTATCAACTCGTGCAACCTGGTGGAGCTCTTTCATCGAGGAAAGGACCACTAGACGCACAGTACAAACTCATAACATCATTGACAAATTTACACTTTGCGAACACTGACCTGGGAACCGCGATGAGTGTAACGGAATGCGTGGGAGTGTTGGTCTTCACTTATGTCAGGGGTTCAGGAGGTCATTTTTATTTTAAATACACACTATAGAGTTACGCAATCTTGTAAGTATTTGTAACAAATTGGTTTTTTTTTTCAGTTGGAGCACAGTGTGGTGGGTCTGTTGATTTAGCCAATCCGTCTGGCGGATTTAGTGGTTTATTCGCTTGTGTACTCGGTGGTGACACAAGACAAGGACGTCCAGCTTCATGGGACACCTTAGTCGTAGCTCTGATTAAATTAGTGTGCCGGCTTATTCAAACTCCTTTACCGAATGTATGTATCGTCGTTATCCAAAATATTGACTCATCGATAGAAGACAAGTTTACTTATTTTTACATTGCAACCTTTTTTATTTGTAGAGTTGCGCAGGTCGATCCGATAGCTCGATGCGAATCGATCTCTCTGAAACAAATCTCGGGTTAGCAAGTGACATTAGCGACGCGCAAATGAAAATAAATATCTCGCAAACTGACGAAAGCAAAGTTGCAGAACAACAGTCCTCGTCTCGCTTGCAGCAATCCACGCTCAACAAACCCAATATACGATGCGTTGCAGACACTGGTAAGTATTAAAACACGGATTATCTCTTTTTAATCAATCATTCATTTCTGCACTGTACATTTTTCAGTTCTGCAACACGAACCTACTATGATGCGATTATTAGGAGCTCTTGGTCATAGCACTGGTTCGTCTCTGGCTATGCTTCTTGGCGAGAGCGCCGGAGCTGGAACCGCAACTGAACTTGGCGATCCAGCCTCGATTCCAGATGCTACGTTTCAACTGTTGACCACACTTACAAAGAAAGCGAGTAACCGTAGCTTGGTTCTCAATCCACTTTATCAGTACCTCTCTTCCTGTAAGAATCGCTATTTCAAGAGTTTTGTTGTTCCGAATGCTATAATTCACAGCGAAACTTACATCTTTTGCAGCATCAGGGCAAAGAGAACTAGATCGTCAATTGGGCGTCATGCAGTTGTCCGAACCCCTTCTCTGGTACATCTTAAGGGTCCTGGACAACGAAATGTCGCTGGCAATGTTTACAGCGATGGGTGGAGTGAGAGTACTTTGCGAGAATTTAGTGAAATCGAGCATTGGCGAAGGTAATGGCAGTCCCGCTTCACCAGGCGTGATCGCCTTGGTGATGGAACACCTTTCCAATGCCCCCAACGTGGTGCCAGCGGCTTCTGCTAGCGGCAAAAAATCCGCGAACACACTGGAGACACACGACGACGGCTTGTTAAACTTTGCCCCCTTGGGCACGATATCTTGGTTGAATCCTACAGCCCAACCAGCGGATGTTCTTATACAGAACGCTACGCCTCACAAGAGAGCAAGGACAGCCGCGTGGATGTACCATTGTTACCCTGACGAAGCATGGGTTGATCTTACTATCACTCTACCTTGCGCTATACTGTTGAGAAAAGTCGAACTCCAGCCACATCTCACATCTTTGGCCAGTAAGATAAATCAATGTTTTGTTTGAAGGTTATGCTATTCTGTTATAGTACTCTACAACATATGTCATGTTTCGTAGCATGTCCATCAGCCGTAGCCATCGAAGTTTCGAGGGAAAGTAACAGTCCACTGACTCCCGTCTGCCCACCAATGCCAACGGCAGGATTGACGTTTATATGTATCACATTGTCCCAACCGGAAGTGGCAACTTCTGTTCTTGTACGATTATACAAACCACGTGACTCGACGAACATAAGCTTAAGTCAAATTAAGCTTCTAGGTACGACAGCGTTCGGCGAGATAAAAACGAGTCACGATACGATAGACGAAGAGCAACTGACGAAGACAAGGTAATTATGGTTAATTTTAATGTAAAATATGTTCACTGTTCCATTATAAATTTTAAAAGAAAAAAAAACAATATTTGATGATGTATCTGTCCAGCTTGGGTTGGTTGCGATTGTTACATCAGTGTCTGTCCGTGAGCACATTGAACAGCAATCTCGCTGTAAAGGTGCTTAACTCTGCAGCTTCGGTCGAAGGATTGATTGAGGCATGCTGTAACCTCCTGTTGCTCCCAGCACCGTCTCTCTTTACTCCTAATTTGGAGAGGGTTCTATTGCAACTAGGCTTATACTCTCGAGAGCTTGGACTTCGTCTTATTGGTCTTTTATTGAACAACAGGTCTACTCCTTTTTTCCAAGGTACTGCTTCTCTCTTTCGGGAACGATTTCCATTTCTCTTTATTTATTATTTCTTAATCTAATTTGCAAATTTTGTTCAGGTGCTGTGACTACACAAGAGACATCGACCGTTCAGTTGGTCGTTGAATTACTCCAACAACTTTGTTCCATTCAGGATTCGTGCACAGAAGCTCGTATGGTCGCGGTGCTTTCGTGGCTTCAGGCATCCGCTTTGAATGGAATCTCTCGGCCCACCAGTGGTCCTAACGCGATCAGTCCGCCCGCTGTGTACATTCATTGCGTGTCTTCCATTATATGGAAAGCTCATCAACAACAGAATTTGAATTATGACTTGCAAGCCCTCTTAACAGACGAGCTTTTCAAGTAAGCGACTCCTCGTGTTTTACAATCTTTCTTGGTACAGTTTAATGAAAAGTATCCTTCTTTACAGTGCTTTGTACCGGTGGACCTTGACTTTGGATACAGGTTCAGCTTTGAAACAGGCGATAGATTCCGCCCTCTGCGCGTTCTGCTACGTGAGACCAACGCTGTTCCCTCTACTACTCCAAAGAGTACGAATCTTGGTGCCTAATATGGCGACGGATCACTCTGCATCCATATCGGATGATTGCAAGGAAAGGGAAGGGCAAATTGATGATAAAAAGAGCGAAATCACTGGCGAGGAATGGTACTGTCGTTACGTACTGTGTGAATACAAGCGATTGAACTTGACAGAGGGACAATTGCTTACCGTCGCTGCTGCTGCGCGATCTCCGCCAGGTATTCAGCAGCTGATCGATTCTGGACTTCCTGCTCTGTTGATGGCGTCCATTACTGGTAAGTTGTTACAGTATTTTCACCAGAAGATTCTATTTTGCTAACTAGATTTTTTGGACAGATTTTTGTAACTTGGAGGAGTCAAGACGGCAACAGCAACAGAGTAGAAGATCGTCGTCTGACGACTGTTGTCCGAGTAATTCGATGGCAGGTTCTAGCCTAACGGATAATGATAAAGCTGGCGAAACTTCTATGCAAACGAATAATCACTTTGGTCAGTGCATACACGCGTTTTGAAGATTCATCATTTCTACAGATTTTGAGGATGGAATGAATAACATGGTTGTTGTTGCTTAGGTGGTCTGTGCCTGACGGATCCAGAAAGTATAGCGATGGTGTTGGAATTCCTGACGCTCGTGTGTTCGGAGGGTAGAATGCGGGATTGGTTGGGAAAAGAGGGCTGTGGGTTTTGGTTACCCCTTCTTTCTCTCCTTAGCAGTCGACCTATAGAAAATCCATCTGTGTCTTCTTCAAGGTAGAACAAAAGCTAACTTAAAAAATAAATTGGATGCTGAAAACGTCTATCCTTTACAGGTGTTCCAAAACAAATATTTCATACTCCTCGCTGGAGAGTGCCATGATTAAATTTTTATCTCGTTGTTGTTGGTGCCACCTTGAGAATCAAAAGCTATTGGCTGAATTATTGACAGATGTAATTTCTCAACAACGAACAACGTCTAGTAAGTCTTCACCTACTTTTTAAAGTTAACATCGTGTACATTTTGTGTAATAATTCTATATTTTTTCTTTGTATAGATGTCCGATACCTTCATGGAATTTCTGGTTTTACCAGACGATTGATCTTGCAATTGCTCTTGGAAGGTGAAAAAGTGTTGGTCTCCGTAACTTCGGAAGCGCCTATGAAAGTTTCAAACACGGCGGCTAATTACAGTATGCCGTCTATGCCTCCACATCCAGCTCATCCGCTGGGACATTATCATCAGTTGTTGTATATGTCCACGCAGTCAACTGTGGCGGACATATTGCAGCAAGTATCTGGTGAGCATGTCTATATGTCGACGGTCGTGTGTTTTTAAGTGTATATTTTTTTAAGAATCAATTAATCCTACGCGTATCTGTTCAAAGGGACATGGCTTCTTTTGCTGCTACCAAACACGTACAAGGGTAACGAAGCTGGATCGACCAACAATCGATCCAGGGAGCTCTGGGAGTCCGGCATGGCCTTTATAGTAGATACTCTTAGCGTAGCCGCGGGAAACACAGCAAAAGATAAGAGAGCTAAGGAGGCGTCTAATAGATCACAAGCTCGTGCTCCTACTGTGAGAAAGTCACGATTAAATTTTGGTAAGTTGCTTTAGTGGCACCCATCTTTGACAAAAATGCTAACTAAAATTTTCATCTGTAGAGGGAACTTCGAATGCTACTAAACCGACGAGCAATAACGTGCAACAGAATCCTGGTAGTTCCACTAATCAACAGTATTTGATCCATTCGTCGCGTCCGAACACTCCGTTGCCGCCTCGATTGACCATTGCTCAGCTTCTAGCCATCGCGGAGGACAGTGGGATATCGTTGTCAGAGCCTTGCTTGCATCTCATGTTACGTCAACGTAATAAAGATTCGACAGGTATTATTATTATTATTATTATTATTGTTATTTCTAGATGAAACTGATTCATTAAAGAGGTGTGTATCGTTTACAACTATATTTTTTATATTTTTCAGAGGACCTAGCGAAACAAAACGACATCGAGTTACTAAATTATAGAAGCATAGAGAGTTCGTTGGGCGTGTTTAGCGCCGGAGGTGGTTTAGCGGTATTGGCACGTCATCTGCCATTGATCTATCCGGATTCTAGAAGGCCGCCGCCTGTGGCGGAGAAGTCTCCGCCGCCAGAGCAAACGTACGAAGACTGGGTAGAATTGGAGGACAACGACAACATGTACGAGCTGCTGGAAGTAGGTGGGGCCAACTCGTCCACGCAAACGTCGTCTCCGGCTCCCTATGTGCCTCCACATTCTCTCGCTGCCTTCGGTCTCTTTCTCAGACTTCCTGGTTACGCGGAAGTGTTGTTGAGACACCGAAAACGGGCACAGTGTCTGTTACGTCTCGCTCTGGGCGTGTCCGACGATGGCGAAGGCGGAGACGTTTTAACGTCGCCGTGGGCCGCTTCGTTACCAACGTTGCCGTTCCAAGTTCTGAGACAGGTACTCGATGCCACGCCGCCAACCACCGACGACGGTCTCCTTCTGCGTAAGACCACCATCGAAGTGGGCGCCATGCTTCTCCTACTGAACTGCCTGGCTATATTTACACATCAGACAAACCAGAACGAGAATTCTGAACAGAAAGGGAGCGGTGGTCAGGGCGAGGCTGGTCGAAGCGACGAAAACTCGCATTTGTACTGGGCGAAGGGTACTGGGTTCGGTACTGGTTCCACTCAACAGTCGTGGAACGTCGAACAAGCCTTGCTGCGACAGAAATCCGAGGAAGAGCACGTTACAGTATTATTGCAGGTCCTGGCGAGTTATATCGGACCGGGTGGCCAGAAACAAAGAGAACTGCCATCGCCTTTTCCCGATCTACTTGCTCTCTCGTGTCTGCTTCCCGCCTTGTCCTCGTATTTAAGAAACGACTCGGTGCTGGACATGGCCAGGCACATTCCTTTGTACCGTGCAGTGCTGCAATTGCTCAGAGCCATGGCTCGTTCGAATCAGTTGGCGCCCCTTTTACTACCAAAAGGAGGGGGAAAATCTGGCGAACCGTCCGTTGTGTCTCTTCTGTCGAGTATGAGGGTGTGTGTGGACACATACGTCCATAAGATAAATCGCACCAGAGGCAACAAGTCCAAGACATTGTTCAAGTACCCAGACGACACTGAGCAGGACGAGGGCCTGGCGACATTGATCCCTGACATTCAAGAAAGTGCTACCATAGTGCAGAACTCCACCGCCAGGTTATCAGGCATCGAAGAAGAGCTGCCAGGACCCAGCCCCGCTGGCCCTGAGTTACCTCTTCGTTCGGTTGAACAACGATATTTAGAGGTTATGAAGAATCTACAGTTTGGTAAGATGATTCTGGGTCCTTTGGATAAGATAGTTCGACGTTTTGAAAATGTTACAACTAGTTTCTTCGTTGCAGATACGTACGAAATGATTGCTGAGAATCCAGAGTCAAGTGGATATAAGTTTGCCGTTTCGTACCATTTTGAGTCGACCATGAGGGCAGCGGGCGAAAGAAGTCATCCCACTCGGGTCAAGAGACTGGCACAGGAGGCTGTTACGCTTTCCACTGCTTTACCTTTGTCATATAGTAGTAGCGTTTTCGTTAGGTGTGACACGGACAGATTAGACGTTATGAAGGTACTTGTAGCGTTTGAATATGCGTAATTAGTAACGAGTAAGCGTATTGTTTCAACGTTAAATGTTTCTTTATCTAGGTGCTGATAACAGGCCCGGCAGAAACGCCATACGCGAACGGGTGTTTCGAGTTTGACGTATACTTCCCACCGGATTACCCTAACAGCCCGATGTTAATTAACCTAGAAACCACTGGTCGTCACACCGTGCGATTCAACCCAAATCTCTACAACGATGGAAAGGTCTGTCTGAGCGTGTTGAATACATGGCATGGTCGCCCCGAGGAAAAGTGGAATGCACATACTAGTAGTTTCCTTCAGGTAACTAGGATTAAAAGAGACGATTAATTTGGCTACGTTATCATGAAACTTTAATCGAAATTTATCTTGAAAACAGGTCTTAGTGTCGATACAGTCACTGATCCTAGTATCGGAGCCCTATTTCAACGAACCTGGATACGAACGGTCACGAGGCACGACGAGCGGAGCTCAATCTAGTCAAGAGTACAACGCGAACATTTGTCAGGCTACTGCCAAGTGGGCCATGCTCGATCAAATTCGCAATCCTTGTCCCTGCTTCAAGGAGGTAACCGTCGCGGTGTACATGTCATATAACTCTCTGAACAACTACCTTTGTACTCATACGCAATTCTTCATTCTGCAGATAATACACACTCACTTTTGGATAAAGAGACACGAAATCGTTGCACAATTAGAGGGGTGGATAAGGGATATGGAGATGCATGGATCGGATCGCAGATTCGGGCGCACACTATCCCTGAACGCTTTAGCTTTAAGGGTAAGTGATGCAGAGTATAGCGTTTCACTCCATCGACTAATAGATACACCAAAAACGAAAATTTATATTTGCGTCCATGTTTGTTCAGAGACACTATAGATTATTGAGAGAAGAGTTGAACAAACTGCCAACTCCCGAGGGTTTGGAGGATTTGGTAGAGCCGCTCGCATCTCCAGGCTCGCCTATCGAACTATCCGGCACCCCGGGTATACCGAACTCGCCACCGACGTCGACGGTTCCCCCGGTCGCCACACTTTCCACGCCGATGAGCAACTCGATCGTTTCCATGAACAACGCCAGTGCCAGCAATCACGTACACCATGACATCGATACGGACGTTGAGATGGAGAAGATGGTTTCAAAAGTGTGTGAATAGCTACAGGATGTTAATAGACATTGTTGGACATTTTGAAAAGTCTATATTGTTTGTGTTATGACGGACAAATAACGGACTGACCGAAGGCGGAACGAAGATCCTAGTATCTTGTCGAATTTCAGATGATTGACGGATAACGAGTAGAATGAAAGCTTACGGTAACTTTTTGGTTGAACAAATGATCATGGAAGAGGAAGATCGGTGAGAATGTCTGAATATATACGTGTGTGTATATGCATGCGTGTGTGTATGTTATGAGAGAGAATATAAAAGAAGAGGGAGGATGATATATAATGCATATGCACGAAAGTAAAAGAGAGGAAACGGAGAGATTGTATCGGATGGAAATGAAGAGGTAAGAATCAGTCGATGATTATAAAGCCAGTATGAATGTGACCAACTCATACGTAGTAGGTACTATCTGTGGCTACTGCTATGCTATATGTATGCTGCATTCTACTACTTCGTATTACTATAAGTAACAACTGTTATTCGATATTTATTATACGTGTTCCTCGTTTACGTAGCCGGTAACCACCCCCTACTCGCAATGCGACCGATCTTAAACAACGCGTTTGTCAGCGAAGGAGACGATTTCAAGGTAACACAAAACTGTACGGAGCAACGATACGAAATTTCTTTATTTACACGAGCGAACGCAAAATGACACTCTACCAATGCACAGGTAGATCGACGCGAATCGGAGTACTTCTGTTGAACGTTCCAATTTCGTTACTACTGTCGATTACGTTCAGATCTTTTCTTCCAGTTTTTCTTTTTTTATTGTAAATTTATCTTTTTCGTTTTTTTTTTTCTTTTTTATTTATCGCAAATCGTCTCAACCGTTTAATTCAACGTCGCATTGCATCCGACTTGCGAGTAGAAAACGACGCAGAAAATTGCTCCATAATGCATGATGCAGTTAGCACTTGATACGTGTGTGCGCAGTGTGATTTAATATTTAGCGTGTCGGTATCTATTACGGTCCGCACTGTATTTTTTACGAGAAATAATAGTTGGACGCGTTCGGCTTGAAATACGATCGCCTACCTTTCAACAGCGAATTTCTTTTGACAAATTTATCGGGAGAACAAGACGTTTTACGAAGTAGTCTTTAAACAAAGAAATAAATAAATAAATAAAAACAAAAAAAAAAAAAGAAGAATCGAATCAAATTTACGACCTCCGTTCAAGCGACGATACAGTTTTGTTCTCTTCGAAACATTTTTCGTTTCTTTATAACACGTGCATCTTTGTTTCAATTGAAATAGTGCTGATCAAAGGCGGATGCAAAAGGAAAGTTTGTACCAGGTCCGATGATTTCTCGCAGAGAAAAGAGCAAACACTGGACATACGGATTATATCCGAGACGTTTCATTTGACACGATAACAAACGGGAACTGATTAAATATATCGATGACGCAGCGATTCTCTCAACCGTCGCGGACACAGGATGCAACGACTGACGGATTGCTGTCGTACAACTAGTATTCCCCTTTGTCTGTCAGCGACTAATTACGGTTAGCTGTGAAATTCCTGGTTGAATCGCGTCCCACCAGTATCAATGATCGTTCTTTCTGTAAATAATCGTCACACGAATAATTGTACCGCATTACAAGTAAATGTTTGTAATTCCGAAGTAACTGGATAAAAATGCTCCGATGTAACGTATACTATTGCATGGATTCCTAAGCAATTGAACAAAGCGAAAACACGTAACATGATGTACGTGACAGGAGAACGTGTTAATAGTTATTTATAATAAACGAATATTACCACGCCATCACAGGTGAGCTTTATTTATCACCGTCTTACCTGTAAGAGGTAATCCATATCTAATCGAACGTTAGACTCGATTAGACCTAGTCCAAACCAAACTGTATAATACTATTTCTAACTAGTTAAATTCTACGAGGTTCAAGACTTTCTGAGTCTTGCATAATTTCGACATTAGAGACCCTTTATATATAAGAATAAATGTAAAATCCATTCGAGTATTTCCCGCAAGATATACGATGGTAATTTTACAGATTCTCCAGGTATGAACGTGGCGTGATTTATGTTGAATCCCGTTTGCTGGAAATTAGAAAAATGGGGAGTCTTCCGGTCAATTCGCAGGCCAATTTGTCACGAGTAAACCTATACCTGTTCGTACCAAAGTAGAAAATCATTTTCCACCGTACTTTCGTATAGCTCCCATATGTCGACCCCCTCGCGGAATATTAAATTTTCAGAAATTTCGCGAAAAAGTCGAGCGCTGGAGATGTAGGTTGCTTTGAACGAGACCCGGTACTAGGATCTCGATACGTTTTAGTTTTAATGTAAACGAAATCTACCTATCATCCCTATAAATATTCAAATGTAAAATTGTCTCGAATACTCGTCAACGAATCGGTAGAATGTCGATCGGTAAACGGATTCGTTCTGCAGATTGAACGCAGTTGCGCGCACCATTAATTAATTATATTTTCAATCAATTGACAAATCAATCGCGAAACTAATTGCAGTTCTTATTTCAGAAGTAGAGAAAAGTTGATTCTCGAGATAAGGATTGTTCCCTTGGAGCAACATTTCGTTAAGCAAAGAGACTGCGTCTGCACCTGAACGTCTATCGCGACTTGGTTCTAATGGCCTGCTCGTTTACGTCTATTACGAGCGTCTCTAATTGACACCTATGTATTCCGATTGCCATCTCACAGTAAATGCTCAAGACGCGTTGGCGTTATCGGGCTTTATCCAGCGACGAGCTTGCACCGCTTGCAAAGTTACATTTTCGATGCAGCGATTCGAAAGGAAAATTTCCTCTGCGAAATTACAGGTGCTTTTCCAGTCAGGCGTTCAAGCTGGAGATCGATGGAAAGAGGTAGGTTTGATTTCATGAATTCTCTAGAAGTTCAAATGGTCAATTTTTAAGAATGCCTTAGTAATGGTCTCTATATTAGTCTGTTAATTAGGTATAAGGCGTAATTATGCTTCGATCGATGCTGAGAAGAAGAATACAGCGACAGGATATCGAGGTACGCACGTGCAACCGATGGTCCGATTTATAACGTTACTAGCCGTATCGCTGGCGTGAAATTTCATCTGTAACACAATGCTGAACGAATATGGCACTTTCTATATTAAACAGTGCCACGTGCAGTTGACCAGTCGGTGCAGGCACGCGTAGAATGTGACTCAACTCGCATGCATATAGGCATGATCCTCAATCTACAACAAATTTTGTTTCCTATAACAAAAGATTTCTCAGCTGAATTTCGATAGTCTCAAGCGACTCATCCGTTCATTTGATCGAATCGAATAAAGCGTTGTAAACGTGTCCTGCGCTAAATTTTAATTAGTGCTAGATCTGGCGATCACGTATTTGTGTAATGACGAACGACTCTTGCATTATCGATGGTCAAACCCCGATAAAATCTGTTTTATATGTTCGAGTCCGTTTCGAAGCAGTAAATTTTGAAGTAGTCGAGTCTTTCGACGCAAGTTGCTAACTTTAGCGTACTCGTACTTTATGCGCACGGTCGTTCATGATTTACGTTCTGGACTTTCAGAAGCTTATTGCAGAACCTTTGTAAATTCCGGACTAAACATCTGTAGTTTGCACGATAAATCAAAGCTGACCACTAGGATCGTAGGAAAACGTCGATGCTACGTGACGCACAATGCAAGCTCGCGGTGAGCGTAATAGGTGCGTTTTGAAAGGCCGTCGCGTCGCATCGAGGAGTGATCGAGTAGCTTAAGCGATCCAGGCTGCGTCAGATGCAGGTGCTTCGTTAATTATCCTCTGGATCTAACTACGTCCTTGCTCCTTTCGATGACAATTCAAGGATGGCGATTAACTGAAACAAAATAGTAAGAGTTACTTTAACTTTCTTCAAGCTCTGTGTAATTACTGTTTTAGGTGAAAAGAAAACCGAAGCGCACGTGGTTCGATTTAGCTTTTACAAGGCGAGGACTGTCAAGCGAGCGTGTTACACGTAAGCGTTGCCGACAAAAGGCTGATTAGCCGGGCGCTCGCACGAAGATTCTCGATTCCTGGAATCTTCCAGAAATTCCTTTGTTCTGTCAGGCTGTTTAAAAGGCGACATGTTTATAGTCCGAGCAACCGCAGCCGACGTCCTGAGAGTCGAGATCATCGGCTGCTCGAACAGCCTTTTTAAAATGCCTAACGAGGCGTTCCTAGCGAAAACGATCGCGTCAGCTTAAATCGACGTTCCGTGCGATGTTTTATCTTAAATCGATGGTTGAATTACGAGGTAGTGGAGAAGAGAAAGGGGAGAAACGGAGACAAAAAGGATGGAGGGACGAGAGATTCTTCCCCGTCGAGGAATCGACGATCGCCGTCAGGGTAGTTCGAGACTGTTTTTGTCGGATTTTAATCGCTTCGGAGTGGTAACGCCTATCCGAAATGGGATTATCCGAAAGCCTCCCGTTCAAGCGCGGCCGCTTGTAAATGGGATAGAATATTCGTGGTTGTAGTCAGCCAACGAATGCTAACTTTTTAATGGCTTCCGAGCGGAATTAATATCGGTACATTTTACCGGTGTTACGCTCCGTTAAGTAAACAATCGTCGCGTAAATATCTGTGTTACGCGGGAAATACCGTTCCCCCGACTTTTCTGCAGCCTCCACCCCCTCGTCGCTTTCCCCTGACATCGAACGATTTTTCAATGCGCAACGTTGGGCGGAAATTTAAAAACGATGAACGTCCAATCAGAAACGATTTCGATGTAAATAAACTAGGTAAATATCGTGAAACTTCACAAATATCCAATTCGCTACGAAAAATACAATTTACCATTGGCAGTATCCCATCGTTACCCTCTGTCAGTCCTGTTCTTCAAACATCTAACTTGGTTTTTACTTTTTCAGGTACCCCCTTCGCAATCTCTTGGTCTTCCACCTTCTTCTTCGACCACAGAGACAAACACCTTCTCTTCTTGGTAATCCTCGACTGACCTGTAAACAAAAAATTCGTTGGCAGTTTTTCGCGTCGAAATCATTTGCCAGGGACACCGTTGAGTACAGAGAGCCATAGAACAAGAAGCACGACAATTCCTCGCGCGGTGGGCGTAAGAAATGCTGGACACGCGTATTTACGCGAAACACGAACCATGAATTTTCCTCCAAAGCGTGGTCGTCCTTTGTTACAGAGTTTTCAACTGGAAGTTGAGCAGAGGGGGTTCTCAAGTTTTTGGGCTCTAGAAAAACAAATGGTAATGATATTTCATAGAATTACGAAAATTGCATCTGTTTCGTCGTTTTGGAGTGAATTTCCTCGTTATCATATTTTCATAAAAATGTCTACTTTTTGGATGCGTGAAACAGTAAGTCACTCTATCGTCATAGAGCGAAGGAAAAAAGGAAAGTTTGGAAACAACGAAGACGATGTAATGGACTTGGCGGGTGTCGATGGGCAGCGCCGTTAATTGCAACGTCTCGCCTAATTGCTCGAAACGTCCGCAAATGCCCCGGAGACTCGACTTTTCCGCCTCCTGTCCACCACCGCGGGAATTCAACCTTTTAAATCGAGTTCCGTTGCCTTTTATCCGCCGCCCCAGGGCTGGCGTCCGTCATTGATTCGTTTATTTATCGCACTCTGACGAAAGACGCGACATCACGGACGAAACGCGTAAACTGGAATCAATTTCATTTTCCTGATCCAATCCCTTGCGGAAATAGTACTTGTGCGCTGTATTTCCCGGAAATGTCAAGAACCTTTAACGAAGTTCCAGTACCAGCATTTTTCCTTGAAATTGATTAACAATGAATAAGGTTTCGTTTAAGTTTTTCTTTATTTCAGACGACAGAGGAAGCGTCTAATTGTTTCAGGATCTAATTGATCCTCCTGAAGATTCGTTTAAAACATTCTCAAGTATATTACAAGAAACTAATATAAAGGTGGTCGACCTCTGTGAAAGTTCAACGAATAGCAGCATCTCATGTGCGACTTGATTACCAATTAATGAGATTTGATTTTAAGATTTGCCTTCCTTGATCTTCGTGTGTGATCTGAAACCTAGAGCCGCTAAAATCTTGCTAACGTGAACACCTGTTTCAGATTGCCCTGGACGCTCTCACCTTTCATCGTCGTCGATGATCGCGAGACAATAGAGTGCAAGGAACTCGAAACTGTTTTTCGTCGATCTGGATAGATCGTAAAATTTAACGACGACGTCACGACTGACAATTTCATTAAGATTCCCTGGCAACGTCCCTTTCCGTGGGTCTCGTTAACGCCATCGCTGGAAATTGCTAGTTGCACGGCACGAAGTGCGCGCAGAGTAATTGCATCGTCGCCAGCATTGCGACAGACGCTCTGGTCCACTCTTTGAGCATCCCGAAGTTAGATGGGTCGTTAGTCGGAAGTGGAGTAACCGGAAGTTAGCCGACCCGTCAAGACGAGCCCGGTAGAACTTCGGCAGACCAGAATCTTCTTTATTCGAGTCTCCTGTATACTCCTCGTTTGCTCCATTTAACGCATCGCTGGACCATGGTGACGCATCCGAGGAGAGCGCATCTCCAAGCGTTGAAATATGTGTTCCTCTGACAACCATCCCTCTCACCAGCTTCCGAACTTCCGAATCGCTCGGGTTCCATTAATGCCCATACCTGTAATTACTCCTGGAACCTTGGAACTTGGAACGCTTTCCCCTGGCAGCTTCTGTTTACTCGTGTTCTGATGTTTCTCACAGAGAAGAATTTTTGCGCGGTCCGAAGGAACATTTCTTAAACTTTTACCGCTTCGAGATGAGCGTTTGAAGTGGTTGTGATAATTTCTTTCCAAACTTTCAATCGTAAGTTTGTCGTATTAATTAGTTTTTATGTTTTGATTGTAGTTGCCTCGTCGCCGTAGCTAGGAATTTCTGCTGCCCGAAGCCAAGCGCCTTCTCGAAGCAAATCCACGCGAAAGGAAATCTGTCAGCGCGAGTAAATCTCGCACGAAATTAAATCCGTTTACGCGTGCGCAAGGTACGATATCGGTGGCCACGAAACAGCGAACAGGGGATTTGTGTCCGTGGGATTTCGAAAATCTATTGGACCCGGATAGAAGGGGGGTTTGCACGTTGCACGAGTAACCGCGGAAAGTGGCGAACGGCATCACTCCCTGGAAACTTTTCTATTTAGTTCGAAACTCTCGGTTGGACGACGTTCCTTCCGGTTGTCGTGGCTCCTTTGCATTTAACGAGGACCCACTGAATATTCAGAAATACCGCGACGCCCGCTTCCGTGTACACGCTTCGAGGAATCCCCTCAAAAAACTGGGTCGTTTCATCATTTTCTTAATTAGCATCCCTCGAACGTCCTTTCTCTTCGTCCCGGTGTTATTATTCCTCCGCGACCAAAATTAAAGAAGAGGAATATCGAGGATGCGCTTGTTTAGCCCGACATGGATTTATTCGCGTTTCCTCGTTCAATGTTCTTATCCCTGGATAGCTATGGTAGATACGAGACCATAGCGAGTAAAAAGACCTTGGCAATAACTAACGTTAGGTGAAAATCTCAACCATCCTCCAGATATAAATTTTTCTTTTTATACCATCATCAGGATGAAACCAGCTTTTCCAGGTGTTTATGAAGCTTTCGACTCACTTGTACTAAGCTCTTACTCTCTATAGCTATACTATTTACCAAACAACCGAATCGATTGTACAGCAGAGTATATTGATTCCTAAGTCGTTTCCAATGGGCCACTAAACGAGTTCCGTTCGGCTTCTTCGGCGGACAGCTAGAAACACAAGAGGCTAGTTTGTCGGCCAGTCATGCGCTAGGGGCGGAAATATTCGTCCCTGGCGTAGCGCATTCCGAAAGTTGGATGGATCGGCTAGACATAGGGTCGAAATAAGCCGGAAGTTGTGGATACCGGGGTTGCCGCGATAGGAGAAGTTACGTAGCAGCGAAGTAACTTTGTCCTATCCTGGCCACCTCGTTTAACGCACCCTGTGTGTGTCTGTGTGTACGTGAGAGTTGATGTATAATTAGTTCCGCCCGAAACCCCTTCTTCGACCCGTTTCAACCTAAATACATGTCTAACTCGGGCATGTTTGTTTGTGCGCGCGCGCATGTCCGGCGTGCACACGTGTATCCCGTTGTCCAGTTACGTTTTCATACGTTCATTAATGCCCTCGCGGAAATTGTCTAAACTACCTGGTCAGGCACGCAGGGGATGTTTGGTGAAATGTTTTCATCGGTACAAGATCGGCTATTGATCGTTTGATAATAACGTCACGATGAATTTTCCAGTTGTTAGGCGTCGGACTCGATTGGTTTATTTCAAACAGTCAACTGTAACGGGATAGGGTCATCAGAAATTCTCACTCCACGTAGGTGGAATTATTTGGATCGAGACAAAGTAATAGACTATAGAAATTCCTAGGGAAACATTGATTCAGGGGTGAAATCGTTGATCGCAGTAGTCGCGTATGGATTTAGTCAGCCAGTAGCGTTACTCGCGCTTTGTTAGACAGTAGATTACGTGCCGTACATAGCCAGACATTTCGGCCATGGAAAGCAACTGGTTACTAATGACGTACCACCGATAGCTGTATTAATTAAATTGCGCCATAGGCATACTGGGTCGTGCAATATAGAGAACGCATTTACTGGGTGAGCCATTCCGAACAGATCAGCTAAATTAATGGTGTTTCGATAGCTTTGATGTATCTAGAGCAACATCTTTATTTACTTTGTACTAGATACTAGAGACTTTATACTGGAGCGAGCACAGCAATAATAGTTGTGGTAATTGTCGAATGCCTCCGGTTCGACATTGCCGATGATCGTTGAACTATCTCGGCGTGTTCAGAGTGATTTTTGACCCGGTTGGTCGTCCGTAAGCGAAATTAATTTGCGTTCAAGGCGGGCAGGACGTTTGCCAGCGGGGGTTGTTTCATCGGAGATCGCGCGGTGTGCACGGGATGAATTTTGCGGGCAGGGAAACAATGTCGAAGGTTCAACAGATACCCCCGGTGACTATTGCGGTCGCGATAATGGCCCGACAATGGCCAGCCGACGAATTTCGATAAATTCTGTTTGCGTGACGCGTGGCTAAAACACGACAGTTATTGTACGATAATAAAGCGATTAAAAGAGTATCTGTCTGTACACGGTGGAATGGATCGATCATACACCGTATCATTTCGCGCGTGTGAATTAAATTCATTCGATTCGGACCATCCAGTTTGTTTGAACTTTTCGCGGTATTATTCAACGATAAAGCCAATAGTTTTCCCTGATTACATGGTTACGTGAAAAATGATTCGAGAATAATATTCGGAAGTTTGTTTTCGTGATATATGTTTCTCTGATCCGGAGCCTGTTTCTTTTCGTTTTTATACTAGCATCGATATCGCCTCGAATATTATTAACGTTCTTTTTTAACGCTAATGGTGACGAAGAGCATGTTACTCACAGGCCATTTATTCCAGCGCATCCAGCGTCGGTTCGAACGACGCATTATCTAACGAAAACGAGGTCGTAAAGAACCACGTCGCAGAAAATGATAAGCCCAAGATGCTGCTCGGGGGCAACATTTTTCTTCGATAAATACATACACAGAATATTTAATGATCTCGTAAGGGAATGAAGCTAGCAGAGCAACCCTCTAGTCGGTCTGTAACTCCGGTTGCCGCCTGTCAGGGGCATCTTACTCGCGCCTACCAGCAGGCAACCAGCTAGCTAGTCTGTAGGTGCGGTTGCCTAGCGCAGGGAAGAGCCCCTGATAGGCGGTAAACAGGATGCGTTACATCTATTGAAAATAAAAACTCCATTTAAAGATTTTAAACAGAATGTACGTACATACCTCGTATATGTATGTGAGAATCGAATAAATTTGCATGTTTCAGTCGTGTTCTCTTGTCAATGTCCGTGTACTTTCTTCAGGGGTCTTCATTCGTAAAGCGTTCTCCTTTCCAGTTCGTGGGTATCTAATAAATCACCGTTATTGCCTTTGTCGTGCATGAAATATATTACGTTACGAAGCGATCCCTCGCTTCTTTGACTGCCTCGACGCGTATGAGCTGGCTGTCTGTCTTGTTCGCCTGGCCTTCA